TCAAGTATCCCCACAGGAAGAAGTCTGGTGCAGGCCAACTTACTGGACCACGTCTACCGATCCACCGGCCATTGAACTCCCGATCGAACACCTCTCGAGCAATTGCCGAATAATGCGTAGGACAACCATGATGCTGGTACCACATGTTTAGTGGTTTTCTAGAAAAGTCCGGTACTTTTCGCCATTTAATGCACCGTCAATAAAGAAGGGTCCAATTAATCGTTCGCCAAAGGTACCGCACCAAATGTTTAGGTACCGACCAGGGACGCTGGTGCTCCACTTGGTGTCGAAATGGAAGGACGACATTTCGAACATTTGTTATAAATTATTTTCAGAGCCGTTTATTGTTGATTTAATGTTAATTTTTACGTTTTAAATAATACATTTTACAAGGAAACCCAATTTTCTTAAATTTTGAATTACAGCGCCATCTGTTGATAAATTTAAAAAAAGTTTCAAGTAAAAGTTATTCATTTTTTTATGTACTGCCAAAATCTGTGAAAAAAATCGGGTCATTCAATTTAACTTTCTAAAGTTACCCCCCATTTCACCCTTAAGTAGGGGTAGGGGGTGGCTAGCGGTAGCACCAAATAATGTCCCCTTTGGTCACATTAACCTTTTATTTAAGAAAATTTTCCGTAAAATGCGTATTTCTCGAGATATTGAGCTGTCTCAAGTTAAAAGAAACACCCTGTATATACAGGGTGTCCCAGAACTCGCGCCACAGAGAAAAAGGGGGCGTGCCGATAGCAATGGAGATGCCAAATTTAAAAATAAAAAATTTCTAGGTAATAGTGTAATCGAATGAGAGCAAAAAAGCGGCAGCCAATACCGAGAGCTCTCGCCTAGGTTAAACGTACGTAGGAGCTTAAAAAATTGCTAGGAGACGATATAACATTGTTGTATTAAAAACATTTAAAAATCTTTTGGCCAACTGTATTTACTAAGATGTCAAAAGCTTTCAAAAATGAGGTTATTAATCTATGACATACTTCAGAACGCCAATGTTTTAAAATAACGATTAGGAAAGGGCTGGGAAAAAACTCGCGTTGTCTCCCTGGCGTTGCGCCTACACTAAATAAATAAATAATTATCATTTCAGTATAATCATCTAAGGAAAACATTATTTATAATAACTTAATTTATAACCTAATATAATATTAATGACAGGAGTTTGACAGCAGTGTCACAATGAATTGGATTCCAGTGGACCAAATATTTTACATATTTTTTATTATCAACAATGCAACCTAAGTATCCTAGCAATTTAAAGAATTCCCTATGGCCATCTATTGGGATTGGCTATCGTTTTTTATTCTTATCTCGCTTATCCTTTGCGTTAGACAATTTTAATTTTCAAATAGGTATGTGTTTCACGTTACTTTCGGCACGTTCCGTTTTTCTATGTGGCGCGAGTTCTGGGACACCCTGTATATTAGGGTGTCCCTTATTTTTATTTTTTTTACGCATTCCCTCTAATTATATTTATTACTTGTTTATATACTCCCAGTAAAAATTTCAGCTCATTCTATTTATAAACGGGAACCCGTGCCGACTTGCATCTAAACCCTCCGTTAGCCAACGTTAGGCGCGCGCGGTATTTTGTAACACGAAACACTTTAAAAAGAAGATATACTTCATGACTGTATTTTTCTAATGATTTTATTAAATAATTAGTATTATTGCTTTTGTTTCTATCATTTGTTTCACTAATTTAGTTGATTTTATCCCTTAAATATATTAATATACTAATTAGTATTGCTAAAATATACTGTTATATGAAATTTCAGCTTTTTATAAGCATTTCTTTTCTTTATGTCCTCCCAAAAATATTTCAGACAGTTCAATAAGTTTTTGGTAGTCATCTCTCACATGTGAGAGATGACTACCAAAAACTTATTGCAATGGACTCTTTTAGTTATTTAGAGTAAAACCCATTAAGTTTATCAATTTCAGAGTTTACGGCCTATTCACCAGACCCTTCCGGGTAACTAGCCACTCCCTGTGAAAATATACATTTTTATCAAAGTATACACACTGAGAAAATTCCAATCTTAAATTATCTTAATGAAATTATCTACATAGTGTTCAAAATATATCTAATAACCAGTACAAATTATCTATCTGTGACATGAAGACGAATTAAGGTGACTAATAGATACGTTTTAATAAAGTGTCAAAACAAAAAATATAGATCATCTATATTTATATTTTAACAATCATAAAATATCTAAATTCCACCATAAACTCAGATTAATATGTCGCTGTTCTTTAAATTATTTTAATGCCAGTGATAAATAACTAAATATGGTTAATAGACGACCTTATTAAAACTTGTCTTAATAACCATTACTAGTCAATTGTGAACACATAACATAAGATTGTGAACCACCTTAAATTATCTAAAGACCTTAAGAAGTTGTATAATGGCCTTAACAAACTCATCTACCTAACTAACAGATTCGGCTTTCCGACTATACTCGAATCGACCAATCGTTTAACAGCGTCCTCTGTGGTAGCGTCATTTATTATTTCTCACTTGTTTACGGGAAATTGAGGATAATATTGAATCGTTTATAGAAGAAAAAGGGCGTTTCTTCACAATTGTTTTGCGGTAATTTTCCAGAACTATAGTAATGGCTTTCAAAGTTACTCTGCTTGAATGGGGGCTCAGTGATTTTGTTAAAGGATTTGAAGGTAGGTTCAATTTCTTTCTATATATTTTCCGGGGTCCCTGCATTAAACATTTAAAAAATTCATCCTGTATTTATTAGGTTGATGATACTTTTATAAATGTATGCTTTGAAGTTTATTTTATAGGATATTGGTAAAATCTGAAATATATTTTTGGTAAAATGTTAACAATTTATTATTATTAGGTACCATATTTATAAATAAAACAGCTTGAGAAAAATTACCAAGATTTTTAATGGGTCAGAATATTGGCTTTGATTCCTTAATTTATTATTTAATTATACATGTATAAAGTTATAATTTTAAGATGGCCTATCTGCTGAAATAGTTTAATTTTTTTAAAGCTCAATTGTTATCTTTCTTTTAGGGTAGACTGGCTAAAAATGTTCAGAAAATTATGGAGTTAACTAAATGGAAATAATCCTTAAAAGTATTATTAATTAATATTTTACTAAAAGTATACTTTATAAGTATAAGTATAAAGTCTTGAAAATGAAAATAAAGTCCCTACGCAGAAAATGCACTAATAAGGTCGTCTAGTAAAAATAATTTCGGTATTTATCTCTATTTTATTTCCTAAAAAAATAAGGAAAGCATTAATTTATGCTAATTGCGATATGTTTTTCTGATTTTTTTATAAACATTTAGGTTTAGTTTAGGTTGATGAAAATAATGGTGTTAATGATTTTTTTAAATAAAATAAAAATGAATGCCAAAATTATGTAGTCGAAGACTAAAATGAAAATCCAACCTTTTAATGCATTTTTTCGCGTTGGGGCTTTATTTTATTTTCAAGGCTTTACTTTTAGTAGAAATAATGCTTTTAAGATTTATTTTCGTTTATTTATACCACGCGTGGTGCAGCTCCATTTATAATAAAATTAAACTATTGCCGTAAATATGCCATCTTAATATGATAGCTATAGCATATTATTATGGCAAATAAATATATTTAGGATCATATTAAGATATCATAAGAGGATATTAGGATGGAATTAAGATGATCTAAAAATAATATATTTACCATTATAAGATTATTTATTTGCCATATATGTACCAATTTAGGATCATATTAAGATGTCATAAGAAGATATTTAAGTGATATTAAGATGATCCTAAAATAATATATTAACCCTTATAAGATATATATTAATGGCCGATATAAAAACTTTTGCAAAATGATGGTCTTATGATAATTGTATTAAGTTTGCTTATTGATGGTTACAAAGTATAGTTATTAAATTGAATCTATTAATGGTATTTAAACGGTCTTAATGTCCCCTATTTTACTGCGATATCTTAAATAAGGTTATTAAGAATCTTAAAGATGGTCTTAAATTATTTTTCTCGGTGCACATAAATAAAACTATATTTTAACATTTCTCAATAATTTATAATATAAGGGTCACATATATGTGTCTTTGTTATTATAATAACAAAGACAAAATGACTTACGATCGAAGACCTCGCGACCAACCGTGTTACAAAATACCGCGCGCCTAACGTTGGCTAACGGAGGGTTCAGATGCAAGTCGGCACGTTCCGTCCCGTTTATAGAATGAGCTGAAATTTTTACTGGGAGTATATAAACACGTAATAAATATAATTAGAGGGTATGCGTAAAAAAAATAAAAATAAGGGACACCCTAATATATATATATATATATAGAATTTAGCACCATATTTGATTTTTTTTTATTAAAAAGTCCTTGAGCGATGGTGCTACCTGTTTATGATTTTTGTTTGTGTATGTATAATTACTTTAAATACCTACCTATCATTAATAATATCGAATACTTTATTAATGCAACACACCATAAACAAACAAAAATCATGCACTTACTTCCACACGTTGCGAAGTATGTGGAAATCATGAACAGGTAGCGCCATCAAAGGGGAGTTTTCAAACTAAAAAAATATTATATTGAACTTCAATGCATTCAATATATATTTTTTTGAATCGTATCAACTTATATAAAAATTATATGTTAAAATATACAAAATTGTAGTAAATTTTACTTGTTTTATTTTTTCTGCAAAACATTTTATACTTATATCGAATGAAATAATTATGGATGCTTCATATTTATCGGGAAAAACAATAAAAAGCCTTACATATAACAAAGTTATTCAACGAGATTTCACGCAAAAGTATTCAAAATACAAAATTTGCTTTTAATGCACATATATTAGAAATTTCGCATATATTTAGAACGAAAATTACGTAGGTACCGTACCCCTATTAGGGGTCCCCTAATAATTATGAATCATCAGATTCCATATTAAATAACTAATAAAACCACTGATCAATTTTACATATGTTTAATAGGTTCAATATTTAACAATCTTAAAGAATTATGATAAACAACTTCCAAAGCTTTAAGTAAATAAATTCTGGCATGGATTTGGCTGTAGAGGTGATCTCTAGGTTTCTAAAAAAACAATAAAATATTAATTATTAAATACACTGAAACCCAAATTTTTCCTAAGTTTAATTTTTTTTAGCAAAAAATACCAACTTATTTTTTAGTTATTATAAATACTTCATATATATTTTATAAACAATTTGATAACAAATACCAAGCAAAATTAGTATTATATTAAACACTTTTAAAGTATAAAAATTATAAATCCTCATATAACCATACAAACAAAAATGTTGTGAATAAACTTACTATTAAAATTCTGACTCTTCTATAGTAAATACTGAATACAGAAGACAAGTTTGATAAAAATTGCACTAGATTTTGTGGATTATAAATCCCCTTCTCTAAATCCTTCACACAGCTTTGTACAATTAATGGAAATTGTAAAATATATACATATAATAATTCCCATTCTTCCTATAATACAATTTAAATAAATACAGAACATAATTTAAAATTTTAAATGCTTACTGGCTGATTTAACAGTTTAAAATCTATTTGATCCACACTGGGTAGTTCTGGATAAGTATTTTTTTCCTTGACATGTTTATCAAATTCCTTAAATAAAACTGATAGTCTGGCACAATTATAGAAAATAAATGCTGGACCTAAAAGATATAATTAATATATTAATAGAGTATATAAATAGTGTTAGTTTGGGTTTGACAGTCAAACCCAAACTTTGACTCCATACTTTTAAATACCTTCATACAAAAAAAATATTTAAGACTCTCAAATTGAAAGTGCTAAACTGACTATAGTCAGTTTAGTGCTTATAAGCACATCTTCCAAAGACAATTTGCTTAGTTAATTTTTTTATTTAAAAAAGATATAACCTAATTTTATTGTTACCTTTATTAGCTGTTCTACTATCTTTTAGTAAGAGTTTTGTCGCTTTATTAGGCTTCACAGATAATAATTCTATTGTAACAGCTCCTTTCCCTAACTTTTGGAAAAAGACTTGCCAGTAAGGAGTGTTAGTAACTGGTACATGAAATCTGTGCTGTGCACTGTCCATCATATCTATTCTTCTTTCTCTATAATAATACATTTTTTTTTAAACAATATTATTATCTTTTATAAAACATACCTACCTAAATATATCCTCAGCAGTAGTCTCAGTATCCTTCATGTTATCTTTATTCAAAATGGGTCCACAAATAATACAATTTGGGTTTGCAACATGTTTTGAAGAAAGATACACAGAACATTCACCATCAGTATTCTTATCTTCACAGTACTTCACCAGGTTATTTAAAGTATTATGTAAAATGGTTATTCGTAATTGTGTCAAGTCTTTTGTTTCATTTGTTTTATGAACATCTGCATCTACAATCACGTTTATGTTTCTTTTTATTATTGCACTAGAACCATATGAATCTCCACAATTAAACACTTGGGGTAAAGTATGGGCAAATACTTTATGTTTAAGCAAAAATATATGTAAATCGTTCTTAATTTTTTTAAATTTAAATATATGAAGTCTCCATTCTTCACTTGCTTTCTTTAAATCTTCCAACTGATTATTCCACGATTTATTATGATTTAAATTATCAAAAATTGTACCTTCTTTAACAACTTTACTTGAATCCAGTAAATTATGCCAGTTTTTTAAATTTAAAGGAAAACTAATGTCACCTAATACATCCAGATTTCTTGTATGCTTACGAATTATGTTGCTATTATTTGGTGTATCGCCTATTAAATATTTGCTTAAATTTGAAATAAAATCTTCTAAATCCATTTTTTAAAATAAACATAGGAAACAGAATATTGAGGTTAAAAATACTAAAACGTCATGGTAAAGAAGGAATTTGTATTATTGGCAAGTGTTGTTCTAAAACCATTTTAAAATGCCCGCTCGCGAGCAGTGTTGCCAGATTGGGCGATTTATCACAAATTGGGCGATTTTTAACTCGCTCTGGCGACCATTTACAAAAATCACAAGTCGCCGATTTTCGGCGCTAGACCGGCGTCAGCCCCAAGGAGGGTAAAATAATTCCCCTTGACTCACCAAAGCTATGATCGGAATAATATAAATAGGTTCATCGACATAAAACATATGATTTATGTCGATGTCGAATATGTAAATATGTAATATAAAGCAGATTTTACGCTGATTGTAAATGTTAACTAAACGATGTTGTTATTTTTTTATTTTACAACTAAAAATTTACAAAAAAATGTACTTAAAAAAACTGGCGACTTTTACTTTATTTTGGCGACTTTCGCCGCCTCTGGTGGCGACATGAAATTTTTTTATCTGGCAACACTGCTCGCGAGTGGGAAAATTGAGCTGATTAAAGATCAATCAACGCTATGTTCTGTGGCTAAAACCTTATTAATTAGGTTTACTCAATATCCAATTTATTTCTTCAACCTGTCGGATAAATTTTACTCCGCCCATAACTGGGCAAAATTTCGTTTCGTCCACGGGCTAATATTTAAGTTAAAATTGAATAAAAGTAAGCCATTCAATGTTCAGTTTTAAAATAATGTTATAAGACGTCATTTTGTCGCACGCGGACAATTTATAAAACGAGCGACGAAGGGTTTAGCGATGGGTTTGGAACAACACTGTCGGAATTGTCAAACCCACTTCTTTTGCGTTTTTTAAAACGTGGCTGCCAGTAGAGTATGTTTAGTGTACGGCCGTCATGAAATTAAGAACAATTATCTTGGTAGTAATAAATTTAGTGACTTTGGTGAATGCTCAGTTGCTCGATGGAATTTATTGCGGCAAAGAAAATTGTTACGATGTGTTGGGAGTCACGAGAGAGGCTGCGAAAAGCGAAATATCGAAGAATTACAGAAAGTTAGCGAAACAGTTCCATCCTGACTTGCACCGGGGAGCCGAGGCCAAAGAAGTAGCAGAGGAAAACTTCAAAAGAATAGCTAATGCTTATGAAATACTGAAAGATGAAGAGGCCAGACAGGATTATGATTATATGTTGGATAATCCCGATGAGTACTATGCTCATTACTACAGGTATTATAGGAGGCGCGTTGCCCCCAAAGTAGACGTTAGATTAGTTATAGTTGTAACATTAACCGTGATATCTGCAATACAATACTATAGTGGCTGGCAGCGCTATGACACTGCCATTACTTACTTTATGACCAAACCAAAGTATAGAAATAGGGCTTTAGATATAGCTAAACAAGAGGGTTTGTTTAATGATGAGAAAAAAGGTAGGAAACATAAAATGTCCAAGGAAGAACAGGAATTGATTATTAAGAAAATTATTGAAGATAAAATGGATATAAAAGGTGCCTATGCTAAGCCTAGCATTATGGATATTCTGTGGATACAGTTAATAATATTTCCTTATACATTAGTTAAATATATTTATTGGTATATTTCCTGGATTTGGAGACATACAATTTGCAAACAGCATTATAGTGAAGAAGAAAAATTGTACATAATTCGTAAATACTTAAAAATGGGACAGCATCAATTTGATAGCCAAGAAGACCACAAAATTGATGAATTTTTAAGGAGAGAATTGTGGATTAAAGAGAATTTTGATGTGTGGTTCAAAGAAGAGGAAGAAAATGCTAAAAAGCAACTAGCTGAAAATAATAGATACAAACAATATCGAAGATACATGAAAAATCATGGTGTTGGAAGAATGACCTTTGATGATTCATAGCTATTTTTTATTATAAAATTTTAAAACTTTATGGTATCTAATTTTACATAATTTTATAAATGTTGTAAAAGTGAGGTTTGTGAATACTGTTTTTAATTTATTTTTTATTTATTTAATAAAAAGAACTGTTAAAACCATAATTGACTATTATTTAAAATTCAATCACCCATAAAACCCATTGTTATTTTGTAGGTGAAAGCCAGGGATAAAAAAAGTGAAAGCCATTATCACAAAAAATAAGTTGCTTTAATTTATTAAAATACTGTCCCATAACTGGACAATGCAGTGACTGACGAAATCAACGCAAGATACCTAAATGTTTTTTCTTAAATATTTGGATAACAATTGAATTAATGTATCAAACTCAAAATTGTACAGTATTGTTTTTAAGAGGGACCTTCTCTTCCTCCTCCTAAGTTTGATACATTTAATTTCATATTTGATCTATTTATACAGTTGCTGTCTTAGACAACCTGTCTATCACAGCAAACGGAAAAATATAGAAGTGTATTGGATGCCCTGGTTAAAATGTCACATAGGGATCCTGTTTAAACCGATACATTTTTGTATTGGATTGTATGGTGTTTCTTTAGGGTGTATCGGTATGTATAGGACCCATAGTTGGGATTTATGGTTGTTCTATAGGGATTTCCACTGTTGATTTATTTGCTATTGGTTTCAATGGGGAAAATACACATAAATGTAGAAATTAGTTTTTCCCCCAAAATTTTGTCAAATGTTTTATGGTTGTTCTATAGGGATATCCCTATATAGCCTTCATTGAGTTAATTGCTATCAGTCTCAATAGGGAAAATGTAAAAGTTATGGTGTGTCTATAGGTAATTTCCTATATATTTTCTATCGAGCGCTACCGGATTCAATATGCATATATGCACATGTGCATTTGTCCATGGTTTTTTCCGGATACGGCGCCGTATCCGGAAAAAACCATGGACAAATGCACATATTGAATCCGGTAGCGCCCGATAGATTATTTTATATAGGTCTCTATGGGGTATTTTAACAGGGTATTTAATCTGCAAACATCTGCTTTTATCCGCAAACATCTGATTTTATACGCAAACATCTGTTTTTATCCGCAAACATCTGCTTTTATCCGCAAACATCTGATTTTATCCGCAAACATCTGCTTTTAATTGCAAACCTCTGCTTTAATCCGCGTTCGGTTTGCCTGCATTTCCTTTGTCCATTTCGGTCCTGTTTCGTATAAACAAACGTCTGGTTTCATTCGCGCTTTTTGTTTTCCTTTTTCTCGTGTATACATCTGCTTTTATCCGCGAACATCTGCTTTCATACGGTTTCACCCGCAAACATGCTTTTATCTGCAAACATCTGATTTTATCCGGTTTTGACGAAGAATTTATATCCGCAATCATCCGTCATTTTCAGCAGGGCTCTTATTTTTACTTATTAAAACTTTTTCAGAGAAAAATTTCCACAAGGGAAACTAACATTTATGAATACCTACTGCTACTGCTAATTCAAGACTGATCCTGGCCACAGAAACATCATTTGCATAAAAAAGTTAATATATCAAATATTAAGTCAAACATCAATATTTTAACGTGTTATTCTCTAATTTATAAAAAGTTGCTTCTTCGATTATTTACCCTTTAAAAATTGTTAAATTTTAAACCAAATTATCACCAGCACCCCCTGTACGTTAAGATCTAAAAAAAATTGTTCATGCAATAATTGTCATTAGTAAGATCTACATTTTGTCCAAATTTAAAATTGATACGTTTTGAAATAAAAGTTATTTAAAAAAAATTAAATTTCTTTATTATTAGATGTAGATATAAGGTAAAAAAAAGTTTCAATCGATTTCTTGAACCCTTGCAAATCGACCGTTCGATCCTTTCGCGAAACCGTAGTTAAGCATAACAACACAAAAGCAGTGTTTATAAATACTTTTCTTTGTGTTTTCTTTTGCAATAACCAAATATAACCTCTCTGAATTATTCCGGATATTTATTTTTATCGCCATAGGACCTATAGCGATAAAAATAGTATAGGTACCTACCATTTCACTACTAAAAGTCTTATTATATTCAGACTTTTCCGACTTAATGAGTCTTATTCTGACTTTTTCCGACTTAATTAGTCTTATTAAGAGTTTATAAGAGAAATTAAGACTTTCAAAACTCTTATTTTTACTTATTAAAACTTTTTCAGACATAAATTTCCACAAGGAAAATGTTGTAATGTGAGGTTTATAAATAATGTTTAATTTATTTATTAAAAGAACTGTTAAAACCACAACATACTTATTCAAATCAAATCACCCATAAAACCCAATGTTACTTATGTAGGTGAAAGTAAATATTACAAAAAAATATTTTTTTTTGAATTTATTAAACTTAAAAATATCTTGGTAACAAACAACATAATCCTATTATTGCTATATTATATAAAAAACATAAATGTTACATTATTTCTTCTTATTTTTCTGTAGAAAGCCAGCTTTGTTAAATTTCTGTAACAATAAAATAAAAAATGCAAATGTAAACAAAAATAAATAACCATTTAAATTACCTTCCACTCTTCAATACTAATTGTGGTAATGACTTGCGAATTAGCTCCACCATTCTGTCGATATTCTTTAGCTGCCGATTTTCCTATGGGTTTTATTAATGGATTGCCATGTTTATCTGTAAATTAAAACTGTTACAAATTGTTCTAAAATATTAGTAGTGATAAATATGTTTTACCTAAATCTAACTGTGCTTTTCCATTTCTAATCAAAAAAGAACAATAAAACATATTCTCCACAGTATCAGAAAAACTTTGCGTGTCTATAACGTAGTCATAATATTTTATAGGTTCTTGTTTATTATTAATAAATTCTTCTTTAAGAACATTATACAACAAATTAACAATTTGTTCAATATTTTTTTCCTCTCTGTCTACATTTGTCAATTTTTCTGGCTGTTTTCTAACCAAAGGTTCTTTTTGTACTTTCACTCTTTCTTTTTTCTGTTTTACTACAGGTGCTTTATTAAATTCATATGTTCCAAAAACATTATTTATCTTTGGAACTTCTGGAATTACATCTCTGGCATATTTTAGAAGTTTTAATATATCCAATGGCTGCACTTCCTCATTTTCATTGGAAATTTCTTCATTCTGAAAAAAATCAAATGTATTTATTATAATACTCATATGTTACAAGGAAAATTGGAATTCAAATTCAAAAATACGATTTAAAATAATTATTTTTTATAATAATCTATTGCAAAGTAATTAAATTATAGTACAAAAACGAATTTTTCCAATGAGTCTGAAAAATATAAATTAAAATATAAAATAAATATAATTATTAAAAAATAATTTTTTTATTTGTGGGATTTTTTTATTAGAGTTAAACTAAACATTTAAACATATCATAAATTTTACATTTAGACCTTGGGAATGTTCGTACTATAATTAAAAAACAAATTTGCCGACAAAAAGGTGAACAAGGGCTGGAGGACTAGAGATAGCTGCAGACAGACCAGGGACTTCTTGGTCACCCCCAGCAAACCCAGATTTATCTGGCTTTTAAACATGAGTCGAGCTTTCCTTGACCCGCTGATAGGCAAAATTAGTAGGTATTACTTACTGGTCACAGGCTAACGAAATACCTTACAAGGATAGCCGAAACTACGCCCAAGACGCAGGAGAGAGAAAGAAACCTTTTTCTACTTTCTGGACAATGTGAGGCGTTTGGCAGACAACTTTTGGAGTGGGTACACTCCCAAGTCTTACCCTGCAAGATATTCAGGCGCGTGCTGGGGTGATTTTAGGGCCCGGGAAATAATTCCCTTACAGGGCCCTCCCACGCCTTAAATTGAATGTCATTTAGAGAAAGGGTTGGGGAACTGGTGGGGGTGTTGTGTTATTAAAATATTACGTCGTAAGCTGGGGCCGTTACTACTTACTAATAACCAGGGACTTGTAAAGCGTTTCTGTTACGGTATCCTAAACAGGGTATCGTTCTTTATGTTAGGATCGAAACTAAATTGAATAGAAACATGCCCCCCCGAAAATGTTAACGAAACTTTCTTTGAGCAATAATACTTAATAATTCCAAAACGAGTATACTCGTCGAACTGGAAACAATAACTGAGTAAAAATATTCGTGATCTGGATCTTTTATCTATGGTCTGTTTGGTAACTGTCAAGCTATCATGCTGTCAAAGAAAATTCATATTGGGTAAAAATTTGAATTAACAATTTTGTACAATACATACTAGGTTAATTTACAAAATTATAAGGGTATTTTATAAGTACGCTGGTGCATTTATTTATCAACAGAAAACGTTACTAGGTAATAGTTTTCTTTTTATTTTATGCGGTTAGGTTACAATTTCGTTATACGAGAAACGTTACTATAGTTTAGTTTCTGTACCAAGAGGCTTTCGGGGTTTTGTTTCCATAGCCGGTGGTTCGGTTTTGCTTAAAGTTTTGCTAGCTTTGTTACCTTAAGTTTCGTTACTCTTCTGTTACTTGTTGGGAACTATTTCCAACGTTCTGTTTCTGATTATGTTTAAATCTTTCTATGTTACTTTAAACGATAACGCCAGAAACGGAAACGGAGTTACATTTCTATACGAGTCCCTGTCCACAGCTAACTTAAATTTATCGCGAGTCGGGGCCGTGGGGCCCCTTGTGGCCAATTTATGAGGGCCCACCGGGAAACTCCCGGTCGCCCGGTATCCCGATTGGAAGGACCAATGTTTTGTATGTAGTTTATTGTTTTAACTTATTTAATTTTTTTTATTATCAAAGAAAAAATGTCTTGACTTATAAAATTTATTTATTATACATATATACCAAAACAAAATTGTTTCTACAGATTAGATTTTCATTAGACTACCCACGGTGCGGTGATTTGCCGATTTAAATCAACTTCAAATTAACTAATTTCTCTTTCTATACATGGATTTTCTATGATGTAAGGATGATTTTAACCAAAAATTAAAAAATCTATTAAGCACTTTTTCTTATTAAGCAAAAACCCCGTATTTTGGGCCCTTAAAAAACTGTATTTTATTTAAAGCAAAAAGTCACTTAGTCACTTAGCTTAAGCACTAAAGAAACTCAAAATGACAGTTAATGACATATGTCAACTCCGAAAAAAAAAAGTATGGTCATTAACTCAATATTGAGGCTAAGCCTACTATATTGCATTGCCGTCTATAAAATCCTTTTATTGATGCAGATATTTTTTATTTAAATTAATAATCCCTTCGGCTGCTTCATTCTAAAACACAATATGTGTAAAAAACAAAATTGTGAGAAAAACGTGTTTTAGTTTTTTGATTTGGCCTCTGTAGGGTATTTAGTGAATTCTTTTGATATTAATGCTACGTGTTTTTCATCAACAAATGGACGCCTTTCTGCAGAAAGGAACCAACCCACAAAACCAAAAAAATCGAGATATTTAGCCTATGAACTAATTAAGTGTGTATAATTTATCTGCAAAATAGGTCATAGCCAAAATGCAAGTGTAATCCAGAATTAGAATCTGTAGAATATCTGCAAGTGGGTTGGATCTTTTTTGTAAAAAAGCAGGCTGGTAGACCCACTACCAAAGTCTTTAAAGATTTCCTGCTTCTGCAAAATATAAAGTCTTGATGCATTTTTTTGGAAGCTTACAATATGAGGTGGGGTTGGAAGATGATGTGGACGAATTTCAAATAGAATCAAAATTAATTCATATTACCATTATAATAGTAATATCAGTTGTATTTTGTTTGGAAATAAATAATTGTCGCTTTTCTTTAAATACATACATACATCAGATAGTAGTTTTCATAAATTGCAGAAAGGAACCAACCAACAAAAGCCCAATTTTTTCGTCACCCTTACACATAATATCACAAAATCCACCTGATGAAATTATTAAATTATATCCCTTAAACCTCCGTAAGTCCAAAATCGGCATAAAATTAACAGGTAATTTTAAAATTATTAAAATCTTTGATAGCTTTTTTCTCAGTTTCATCATGGTGTGGGTTGGTCCCATTCTGCAGAAAGCCGTCCAAATAGGCCGGGTTAGAATTTGCGTTTTAATACAGTATATGCAAAAATACAAAAAAAATATGTTCTGAAAAAATGTTGGATATTGTGTTTTACAATGGAGCAGCCGCCTTTTATTTTTATCATTTTACCGCACGTCTATAAACATTTATAGGATTGAACTTCTCCACATATGGGTTTCTTTTATCAGAGAAATTAATAAACTGCTCATAAATAATGTTCAATAAATATTTTATTAGGCTATTGAATAAAATATTATGTATTTAAAAATAAAACTTTGTACAATTATACATTTTTCTATTTACAAGGAAGTAGTATATACGTTTTTTTTATTATTAAATTTAAATTTTTTGTTATAAATAATATTTTGCAGTTAGTTTTAAACGAGGTTTTAACGTATACTGAACAAAATAAAATTTAAAAAATGGATATAATATGAGTAAATATTTAGCGAATAGTCACATGCAAGGTAAGGGTCCAACATACGGGGTTTTTGCTTAATAAGAAAAAGTGCTCGATAGATTTTTTTAATTTTTGGTTAAAATCATCCTTACCTCACATAGAATCTATGTATAGAAAGAGAAATTAGTTAATTTAAAGTGGATTTAAATCGTCAAACTACCGCACCGTGTACCATATGTTTATAATAATAGTAAATAGATAACTATTGAAACCACACAACATATTTTCCACAAAAATAAATATATCAAGGTGAACCAAAAACATAACTGTTAAGAATAGATGGGACTTTATAATTAAAACTTAATTTAGAACAATATACGGTTTTGCCACTCTACAGAGTGTCTTAAACTTATAGTAAAAAACATATTTTTGTTTAAACCTGTTTATTATAAACGCACGTCTATTTTTTAGTAAATTTTTAAAATGTGAGCGATTCTCCATTACTTAATTTATCTACAATATTCGTTTAAATCCGACATCAAATAAAAAAGTTATTTGCGATTAGAATTCATCGAAAATTTGTGTGGATCGATTATTTTGCCTGTGAGTGTAGTATTGGAGCAAGTTTTATTAACGTGAAAGTCGAAAACATCACTTTTATATAGCTAGAAACTACTAACCCGCGGCAAGCCCGTCGAACTGTAAGTTGTTACAGAAAATATTGCCTCTAATTAGAATTGGCCCTTATACCTTTAACCTTACATATCAAAACCTTCAGTGTTCCACATTAAAACTGCAATGGTCCATGTAAGGGCCTTTATTGCAAGTCATGACTACCATTACCATTGTTAAAAAAATGCCATTACATGGCCATACAAGGGAAAAGTGACATAATATTTACATGCAGGGTTGGATAGGACAGGCAGGCAACCGGGCGAACGTATGTATAAGAAAAACATGTATTTATTTATTTATTCATTTCAGTACATATTTACAATTAGTATATATTAAAATATGTACAAGGTTTTAGCCCATGGCTATGCAACCCAATAACACCTTCTTTAGAGCTCAGGGACTGTCTGTAAAAAGTTTTTCATTTTTATATAATGTAATTTTTAATAAAAAAATCTATTTTCTCAAATTAATTTACTTTAAAATTGGCCATTGGTCATTCTCCTTCTGCTGTAACTTGTTGGCTGATTACGGGTAGATTTCTTCAAGATCGGGAATTTCCTGCTTATAAGCGGATTATTATTTTAACGTATGGTCTGGGGTGTGGAGTCCGGTTTGATAAAAAATTGACAGGCAGGTTTTTCTGGGGCCATTCAACCCAGTGTACAGGTCCATTCAAGTTAACCTTTATGTGACCTTGTTCATTAAAGGCTCTTTTTTAAAGAGCAATTATGAAACCTTCAAGGTTGTGTTTGCAGGGAAAGCATTACAATTTTAAGTTTGTTTAAAAAAATGCATTTTTTATGCTGGTGTGTGTAGGTTTACAAGGTGACCCAATATTCCATGGATCCTGACCTCAGAGGATCCATTTGTCAGGATATTGGTCATTCAAATGTTGTCTGAATAGGCGTGCAAAATGAAGTGGTGCTTCATCATCCATGAAAAACATCTAATCACGCAAATTGCGGGATACGTATTGCAGCAATTTGGGCAGATCTTGTAAGTAGACAGACAGGCAGAAAATGTAAGTAGTTGTTGACAACCTAAATGGACCAATCCATTCATTTTAAATTAACGTTGAAATTTTAAATTAACGTTAAAAATGTTAAAAACCTAGCACTAAAAACTCATCCTTACAATCCCTAGCAAAATTACTACAGATTTTACCAACCAATGTTTCATTGATTGCTTTGAGGCTTAAAATAAATCTCACGTTTTTAGACTGATTTACAGCGCCAATGTAAAAAACATTACCACAGAAACTAACAAAAGAAATAAAAATAAAATTCATTTATCATCAACTAAATAGGCATCTTTTACACAAATGCCACAAAAAGATACAGATTTTTGCAAGAGACTAGAAATATGCAAAAATTATGTATCCTTCAGGCTAAGAAACAAGAAAATGTGTTCCTATATTCTTTGCAATAATTGAGATTAATTTTCTGTCAAATTAACATGCGCATCAGAAATTATTAGGTACCTATACATCATTTTAATAGGAAATTTAACTACCAACTTTAAAGCCCTCTCACAGACAAACAAAACATTTTGGAATAGAGGTATATTTGGTCTGATCAACTTATTTTGACCTCAGGAATCTATGTTCATGAAATATTGAGATATGCTATATGTTACATAATAAATGATTTCTTATCTAAATTTAAATATATATTAAGATATAACTTTAAATTTTCTTAAATGTTCTTTAAAACAAGAAATAAAAATAAAAGTGACTGATCTATAAAGAATAACTCACAAGTTTTTCTGTAAATTCTGTAGGTTCATAGGTAGATGTAAAAACATCAACATTCTCAACACATTTCTTTAAAATTGTACTTGCAGAAGACAGAACCATGCAATCCAAAAAAATTTCTTCAGAATATTGTACTCGATCTTTGATTTCAAGTTGTGAATCCAAGGCATTTAATTGCCTTATAATATTACCAACTTCATTGACGGTTTTTACACCTAATTCATTTTCCTCTTCTACAAAACAAATCAAAATAAGAAACAAATATAAATAAATAAATTTGCATAAACTTAACCTATTTCTTCAACTTTTGTAAGAAGTGTACGGTAAGTTGTTATCCGCTGCCGTGACTGCTGGCTGCTCATGGTATCGTTTTCTTGATCAATTGACGAATTCATAGTTTACACTTAATTAAATCTTATAGTTTTATGTAAAGTAAAATTTTTAGTTATTATTACAAATTTTAGCGCTATCAGTGTTGCCACTTATGTTCTGTGCCTTCGGGGTTTTCTATGTGTGCCCAGTGTTGCAAGTAGTAGAAAAATTAAAGTACTGAAATGGCAATAAAAACGTATTGAATTTGAAAGATAACGTACTGACTAGGTTTTTCTCCAATTTTGAGAAATTAACATTAAACTTATATGAACGTAATTTTATTTTGTACTTTATCAATAAACACATGCACATAAACAAACTATAAACATCAAAAGAACAAAATAGATAATTATTATTATTATATACACAAAAAAAACAATATTGTTGGAAAAATAAATAAATAATTATTATTATTATTATAGGTATATTATACCTATACAAAAAAAAAACAATATTGTTGGAAAAATAAAAAAATAGTCTACCTATCTATGATTAATTTTCTTTTTTTAACAAAGATTGAGGTATTTGGCATCAATAATTGCTTTGCATGTAAATGTTTTCGACGTTTTTTATCTTATTTCCATGAGCAAAGAGTTCTAAGACAGTTCTTGGCGAACTTGGAACAAACCTTATGTCAACTGAGTAGACAACGCGCGCTGCCAACAGTTTAAAACTTAAATTACCAGGATACTAAAACAACTCAGTATCACCAACCTAAACTTTTATTTTTTTCTTAATTTTTATATAAATAAAGAGAAAAAAATCTAAAACTGGAAAACGTACTGAAAACCATCAAAGAGGTACTTGCGTACTTTTTTTAATTCGAAAGTACTGAATTCGGTACAAACATACTGACGCTGGCAACACTGTGTGTGAAGCATGGTCTGTAGACTCTAGTAACAATTTATAGTTGTCAGAGGTAGCGGTAAGGGAGCCTCCCTTAGGGAGGTAGAGGCAAGAACGTAGCGGCAAGAGATGACCATCTTTCATCTTTTCTTACCTCAACCGCTACTGCAGCCAATCACACGGCAGTTTTCAGTTGGCAGTCTCGCCTTAAGGCGTTAGTTTGGTTTTTATGCGAGGGGCAACAAGACTTGATAAACTGTCAAAAAAGATCTGCTCTTTATCAGTCAGGACTGCTGTTTTATTTTTTTTTAATATTGGAAATGGGTTTTATTAGCTCGTTCCCGATTTAATTCCCTCGTTTTATAAGGACGTACCTACTTGACGACCCCCATAACGTTTATTATATAATATTTCGCAAAACGCCATATGGCCCAGAAGCACAGCATTGTACTCGCAATCTGTTTTCGTAGACAACTTAACCTTTAGCTGTCAAATTTTACAAAAAGAAATACAATCTGCATTAAAGTACACATGCGCCGCCAATACCGCTACCTCTACCGCTGCCTCTACCGCTACCTTTAAAACTATAAATCCAGCTTAACAAATATGATAAAAATTTGTGAAAATCACGACATGACGTTCGTATGATATCATTTATTACGCGGTGACTTCCGTATGATATCAGTATGAATAAAATTTGTGAAAATCACGACGTGATGTTCGTATGAATATCACGAATGTTGTCCGGGTAGGTTTTAAATTCGCAGTTCGCAGGGCTCATAAGCATGCGCAAATTTTGCAAATATCACACCGTGAGTTCTACATGATATCACTGTGATGAAGCATGTGTATGCACTCAGGATATCACAGCGTGATAAAAAAAGTCACGTTGTGATATCATCATGACTTCACCAGGAAATCCCGATTGTTGTCCGGGTCTTTTGTAAAAAATAAACATTATTCCATCAGACTATCAAATGTCAATTTTAAGGTTAATTTGTGGGTTATGGTCACGGTCTTATATACAGGTCTTGCAACTTTAAGCTTCGAGGTGGCTTCCTTAACGTGCCAAGCCGCTAGGTGGCGCTAAGATCGAAGGGGTAAAGTCAATTAAACTACTACTTAGTTAAATGTGGAACTACTGCATAACCATAACCTAACTTTTTAAATTCTTTTTCTATGTTTTGTTTACATTTTCAAAAATTTAATATTTGTGAGTTTGTTTCGGATAATTTACGTTAACAAAATAGGACAACAAAGTCTATACTCCATGCACAAAGTCCTCGGCCGTCACATGCCCAGACCAAACATGTTAATGTATAAAATACATACGTATATCATATATATGTTACGGCTATAGCCGTAACATATATATGACAGTTTGGCTAGTTTATAAACTACCCAGCTACTTAATAAACTATCCATGTTTACACATTATAATGTGTAAACATGGATAGTTTATTAAGTAGCTGGGTAGTTTATAAACTAGCCAAACTGTCGGCTATTTTAATTGAAAACGTATTTTTAACTAAATTAGCGGCTAGTTTGTAAACCAACCAAGGGTCTTGGGTAATTTACTTGAAAATATTTAGGAATAGCTGGATAATTTGTAAACTATCCAATTCAATTTGGCTAATATGAAAACCAAAATTTCTAGTAACACAACAAACTAACCAACCAATATTCCGGCTAATTTATTAATAACCGATTTTTTTATTGTCTTGGCGGGGATGGGTTGATTGTTTATTTAAAATAATATATATTTCACCAACACGATGTGCTTAATTATATAATAATCATACAAAATGTGAAGGTGTCAATATGTTTTTTATTGCACATTGCCATGTTTTTAACCGCTCCTTATTTGTTAGCACTTTAAACATGGACCGCTTAATTTTAATGCCGGAACGATAGCTTTGCTGGTTACATTTTGGCACAACACAGGACTTCATGTCTATTAAAAAGCACAAATACAAATGTATAACAAGAACAAATATAACAAGAACAAATAAACAAGAAAAAATAGAACAATATAATATAACAATAACGAATATCACAATAACATTAAGTAAAAACTCCCTGTAACAAAATACACAAGCTTGTTTATAAAAATGTAGGTTATGTTTCTTCACAGAACATAAGTAGGTAGTTCATTTGACCTTTATCCCATAGACTTTAAGGACTTAGAGCCGGTTTTACAATCGTTAGATTAAGTTAGCTTATTTGGCGGATAACTTTCATAGAAACCTTTTATCTAAGAAAATTATCCACCAGAGAGCTTATCTAACGATTGTAAAACCCAAAGATAAAGAAGGTAAAAACGACCTTTAAACATCTATGGTTCACCCTCAACTCGATGCGCCATCTGGTGGGTGTCTCATTAGAGAGGTCACTTTTCCTATTGAAATTGGGCGAAGTTGCAAGACCTGTATATAAGACCGTGGTTATGGTAAATTATTCTTAAAATTGACATTTGAAAGTTTGATGAAAGCCCTGATAGAATAAGGTTTATTTTTACAAAAGAGGAGTAAAATGGTTGCCTTTTAAGGCCTCTTTTAAAGCCTGATTTATAGATTGCCTTCCTTCCTTCCTTCCTTCCTTCCTTCCTCCCTCCCGTAGAAGAAGAACAATACAAAAACCTGTTGTCCCGTACGAAAATCTATAAATGGCACTACGATTTTCGTATTGTTTATCTTCTACGGGAGGAAGGAAGGAAGGAAGGAAGGCAATCTATAATTCAGGCTTAAGGCTTACAAGTGCCTCTATAAGAAACACAACGTTTAAAAAGATTATTATTCTGTATAAAAAGCACAAACCCATAGCACAAAAATTGTAAACAACAAAAATGGCCGCCGTTAAATTCTTTGCAGTGTTGCAGTGATTTTTAGTATTTTTAGAACAAGATGAAACAGACCTTGTGTGGATTGTACCTTAAGTTATATTAATATTAACATAATTCTCTTCGTTTAATAAACAAAATAAAACTGGTGTTCAAAGCACAGAAAAAAACAAAGGATCTGTCAATGCAAGACATTGGGGAGCAAACGGTTTGCTGCAAACCATAATGGATTGTCTTGCCATATACCTATATGGGCTGCAAACCTTGCTGTGCGCCACATATTTAGAGAAGCTGTGCTGTGAAGTTCACAGCACAGATTATATCTATGAAGTTCACAGTGTATAGATAACAGTCTGAACAGACCTTAGTTTTCACCTCGCACACCTAACATTTCTTTTGTTGGCTAAACTTGTTTATGACAGCGCCTCTGCGATGACATATTTTTGTTTTGACTTGACATTTGACCAGAGATAAACATAACATAAGCATTTGACATTTAGTAAATCGTCATGTTTGGTGATAAATTTATGTTATGTGTTGATAAATTATGGAAATATTGTTAGTTTTGTTGTATAATTTATTTACCAATGAATTAGTTCTTTGTAATTTAAGCTGATTAACACATAAACATTGATTATTATCGGTAGAATTATGCATAATAAGGTGTGACCTATTATTTCACCTACTCATGTTGTCTATCAATTATGTTACACATGGATAATTGACTTTATACTGTTCAAACGTTCAGCATTTGAATTAAAATTAGTGATATGTAGTTTTACAAACACAATGTGATTAAGAAAAGACTGGACAATGTATATTACAATACTTTCAATATCGGTACTGGTATCTTTAGTTATGTCTTTGATTTTCTGCTTGTGTTGGAAAAAGAAAACCCCCAGGTAAGATAGCACTTCTGTTTTTTGAGGTTTGTTTTGATATTTTATATTATTTTTGTAGCAATGATTGGCTTGGTCTTGATGGCATGGTTACTCAAAAAAACCCTGATGAAAATGTGAATCACTTGCCTTCTGCTGCACCCTGTGTTGTTGATGGTTTTAATGCTAGTGAAGACACTATAGATGCTCATTTACGGTATCCTATAATTTTATGGGAGTGTATATTGATCTGGCCGTTTGAACAAATTGTAATTGACACTATTTGTCCAGGTGGTATTTGCGCTGTGCTTGAACAGCTGACGGCCGGACAAATATTGCAGCGACTATTTGTCTGGGTGGATGTTCATTTCCGTTGTAAATGGAGGTTGGTGTTTTTGTGCAAGTGCTTCAGTAATCTCTTTGAGATAGTTGAATAGTATGTTCTTTTTCATATCGATTTATTGCATTTTCAATATCTTTAAATAATTGGAACATTTACCAATAGCAATATTATTATCCATTTTTCTAAACACAGAATGATAATCAATATGATAATCAATAATAAAAAAGTAAGCATAAATATAGAGAATCTCTTCATACGACTCATATGAATATAATGAAAGTACTCATATGAATATAATAATTTTAGCTTTTGCTTCAGTTTATTGCACAGGTACTTGGATATTTAGCCATCAGAAGGCATTGGAAACCAAGTATTTGATAGAGCAATTATGTAAATCAGCTTGTTGGTTGGTATACCTTCTTACACACTAAAAAATATTTAGGTACTTGGTCTTTATTTAATTCCGTTTTGTCTGAATTTTACGAAAATAATAAACTGTTAGTATAGTCATAATAATAATATGTTAATAATTTATTATAGGTGCTTATACTTTATATTAGGGATAGAACGATACCGATATTGATATCGGTATATCGGCATATCGGCAATTGTTTCCGATTATCGGTATCGTATCGTATCGGCAAGATAATTGCCGATATATCGGCAAAAAAAAATTGCGCTTTTCACTCTTCAGTGCATAAATGAAATACTTTATTAAACAAAATAAAAATTTTCTCACTTTTAATATTAAAAAATAAGAAAAACAACCCTTTTAGGAAACAATAATAGCATATGGCAACAGCGCGGCATGCAGTTTGATCTACTGTGTTTGTTCAGTAGTTCCGACGCTGTCGTAGGGAAATGTGTATAGTTTTTAAGAAATACATTTTCGCCATTAACTGGAATTTAATGGATTTTAAACAATACGAATTCGATAAAAATAAAACCTATAAATTCTCAATCCCTACAACAGTGGGCGGGGTTTGGCACTTGTTTTATTTAAGTGTATCTATTCGTTTTAATACACACTGTATAAGGGGCTTCCCAGAAATCCGAAATGTCACTCACTACCAATCACAAACGTTTCCTCGCAACGGAATTAAAACGGGACTTCCCCGATTTTTGCTTCGGTCGTGTATAAATATATGGCATTATGTTTGCCGATACGATATATCGGTATATCGGCACGTAAATATCGGTATCGGCCGATATATCGTATCGGCAAAAAAAAAGTGATATCGTTCTAGTTTATATTGACTAAAGCACTTGCACAAAAACTACAACCTCCATATTGCAGCTAATTTACAATGGAAATGTTTGAACGTTCACCCAGACAAATAGTCGCCGCAATATTCGTCCGGCCGTCAGTTGTTCAAGCACAGCGCAAATAGCGCCTGGACAAATAGTGTCAATTACAATTCGTCAGAACGGCCGGACCAATATACTCTCCCTAATTTTATTTGTTATTTTATTACTATAAGTAATTTACCTATGTGAATTTGGCACCAATTTTTTGAGAGTTTTAAGTAATCTTTAAATACCAAGTTCCACAGTTCTTCACAAGATAAAATTGGGTTTCTGCAGTCCTTATGTACATTTTTTAAAAAACATAATTTTTGGTTCTTACTTCATGCCACATCCTTTTCGGATAGGGGTGGAATTCTGGGCCGATTTTTAGTAAAAGGGTACCTAGGGAGTCCTATAAGAGGCTACCCAAAGAGATCTATAGTTCTATTTGTATACTTTTTGAAAAGAGTTCTGCTTAAAATTTTGATAATTTGACCAGAGCTCTGTTGTTTTGAAAAAAACTCATTAACTGACCTTTAGCGTGAAAGTGGAAAAATTATTTTTTTATGTTTTAAACGAAAATTTCACACTGCACCCTTTAAAACCTTATGGGGTGCTTTGAAATAAATTAATTATTAAAGCAATTAAAATTAAAATTAAATTAAAACATATTTTTGTTTTGTTTTCCACATTAAATAAAAATTTCATTTAAATTAATTTAAAATGTTGTATTACCCTTTTTAGCATATTTGCTGTCCAACTCCAACAAGGGTGCTTTTAAAAAAATACTCATTAAATTTCTTTGTTTTTTTAACATTCGATTAAAAAATGTGTGTAGCACCATTTAAAACTTTATTGTGTTTATCTTTGTGTTACTTGAAAAAGGACAACTTAGGTGATATGTTAAACAAATATTAGAAAAATTCCTTAACACCAAACAAAACAAAACACAAAGTGCTTAAAGTACTTTTCGCGAACGATGTTGGCATCTTCAAAAGCGAAGTGTAACTAAATCTAACTGCTAAATCTACCATATTTATACTAATTATAAATAAGCTAAGGTTGACTTTCATAACTATCTAGCAGACTTGGTTCTCTGACTTCCTTAATAATTTTAAGGTTGTCAAATCCTATGCTATGACCATCATCAAGTATATGTTGGACAACACTTGATTTCTCTGTCCTACCAAATCTAGCATGGGTCAAGTGCTCTTTGAACCTTACTTGGATGAATTGTTTAGTTTGTCCAACAAATTTCTTGTCACAATCTTGACAGTTTATTTCGTAGATCCCCGACTTTTAAATTTTAGAAATCTTATCTTTTGGGTTGCTTAAAAGGGTCTGAAGTGTTTTACTGCTTGAACTAAAAGCAATTTTGAAGTTCAGTTTTCGGAAAATCCCTTCCAGACCTCGAGTGACGAAAGGAATGGTCATAAAATTGACTTTTGTGTTCTCTCTTTGAAAAGTCGTTAACCTAGAAAGGCGAGACTTAAATTTAATTTTATTTACTAGGGTGGGTTCAAAACCATTGTCTCTAGCAATGTCTTTGATAAAACTGAGCTCTTTCTTGTACCTACTAGTAGTGCACGGATCCGATTTTTTTACGGATCGGGGATCCTTGAAAAAAAACCGGATCCGGATGTATCCGTATCCGGATTTAAATATAGGAACCGGATTCGGATCTCAGATCTAGATATAAGATCCGAGACCCGGATATCGGATTTTAGATCCGCATATCGGTTCTTAGATCCGCATATCGGATCTTAGATCCGGATATCGGATCTTAGATCCGGATATCGGATCTTAGATCCGGATATCGGATCTTAGATCCGGATATCGGATCTTAGATCCGGATATCGGATCTCAGATCCGGATATCGGATCATAGATCCGGATATCGGATCATAGATCCGGATATCGGATCTTAGATCTTATTAAATACTTTAACATTATTGTATTATAAACAAAACAAATATTCTACAGTATAGTACCTATATTTAATATTCTTAAAAAGAGATCAAATAGCAAATAATAGTCAAAAATAAGAATCTTTGGTATCAAAAATAATAATTAATTTGTAAATTATTAACTTTATTTCGCAATGAAGAATTTCCTTATTATGACATCTTAAGTTTGTCTTGGTGATCAATCGACGTAGTTTTTGTTAAAAGAGAAGCGGCCAAATATTTTTGTATGGAGAAAATATACTTAGAATTAACTAATAAATGATATTAGGTATATTATAAATTACATTATTATTATTATTAATTATAAGCACATTGTTGAGAAAAAACTCTTTTAAGCAGTAGTGTATTCGGATTTCGGATCTTTGCTCCGGATCTGATCCGGATTGAAAAAGATCCGGATCTAATGTTCAGCACTAGTACCTACTGTTACTAAGTAGAAAGTTTGCCAACCTATAAACAAGAAAGTTAAAACTAGCCTGCTTATGTTTTGTGCAGTGGTTCGAGTCTGAAGTGATGAAACATGCAGTGCTTGTAGGTTTTCTGTAGATATCGAACACTGAGTATGTATGTAGTATGTTAGATCTAATCACTAGGGTATCTTAAAATGGTAGCTGGCCATCTTTTTTCAATTCAAAGGTGAATTTAATAGAGGGAATACAATTATTCAATTTGGAAACAAAATTATCCAAGCTGCAAGCGTTTTAATCGAATACTGCAAAATAGGAAAAAAGATAAAAGAATGGAGGTTGATAAAAAGATTTACCCAAAAGATTTGGCAGATAAAGGTGCTTTAACACTTAAGGAAATACATAAATATGAAAGAGGTAATAATATACAAAAGTGCTCTTTTAGTTCCACCATTACTTCCTAAGAAGTCCCAGAAGCCAACTGATTGGCTTGAGCGGGTTAGGGGTAGGAACGGACCGCGGGCTTAAAGTCCCCTCCGAAGGACTAATATATAACAGGACAAACAAAATTAACCGCTATACCTCTAGTGGAAATCGAACCTACGACCTTATTATACGGTATAATACTGCCATACTATTTGATAAATTGTATGAAATAGAGAAAGTAAAGAAAAAAGCTAATGAGTTCAATAAACGAGTTCAGAAGAAGATAAAAATCAAGAATAACTAGATGAAGGTATGAAAAGTGGCTAGGAAAATGTTAAAAAAAAATAGAAAAAATCAGGGTTGCAAAAAATCTAGTGAAGGCATCAGAGTTCAAGGGTGCTATTCTTTAAATAAACTTAAGCCTGACATGTAAAAAAAATTCAAAATCAACAGACTGAGTAAATATCGTGCCCGCCATGCGCTAGAGCGAAAATTTATACTTGTCGAATTCAAAATTTTATAGAACTCTTCAAAAAGTATATAGAACTATAGAACCCTTTTAAAAAATGACCCAGATCTCCGCCCCTTTCTAAAAAGGGTCCATCCAAATATTTGTTAAAAAAAAATGCACGTAACGAATGCAGAACTCTAATCGCACCCTGAGGGTTCTGAAAGTTGGGGTGCTAACTTCACATGGGTAAATAATTTTTATTCATAATCAGGGTTGAAAAAAAACCGGAGTTTTTAAATAAAACCCAACCCATTGGGCTTTATTGGGTTTTATAACTGGGTTTTATTTGTTTTTTTTTTTAATTCTAGATGTTTTTAAAAAAACAACATTTGATGATTAGAAAAATTCAAATATATTCACTACCTTCTCCTTCACAGCTTATTTTCGCAGTCGTTTGTCAACTATAAAATGCATAAGTGTAAGATTGAACTTTAAAATTACGTTTTGTTTGGTCAATGGTTTGATTGTTTCTCAGTTTTTGAATGTACTGCTTTTGATTAAACAATATTTTTTATATACATAAAAATGTAATGTTTTATCTTTATACAAAATAAAAAATATACAAAAATATCGAAGAGTTAAAGTTAAAAAAAAAACACTTTTAAAAAGCCTGGCCGCCTAATAAAGATAATAAAAATTTTAGTGGTGCAATTTATAATTTACCATAGTTTATCGACAAATTTTAAAATTTATTTAAAAATATTACAGATTTTATACCATTTTAAATACATTTTTATTTATTTTTAAGAAAAAAACCCACTTTTAAAAAACCCATTGGGTTTTTTGGGTTACCCACTGGGCAGCCAACCCTTTGAATCATAATATCATCCCTTTTTGCTTTATCGCCTTTTGTATTTGCATGTTATGTGGCGATTTCATTTTCACTCCAAAACCGAGCGACACATAAAATTCCTACTTAATATGCCGTATTCAATCGACATCATCTCCAGCGCAACTACTAAGCGATCTTGTGATATTGAGGGTCGAAATAGTTTTTTATTAATTTTAATTTAAAGAAACTTTTTTCTCCGGATGCGACGGTTATTTGTACCGTGTTTACAAGCTATCGAGAGGCAGTGTTACTAACTATATTATATTATATCTTAATTTTTGTCAGTTGTGTGACGCCTCTTGCATTAGGCGCCCCAGGCAATCGCCTGATTAAACCAAACTGAAACATAATAAGCTGCACTTTTTTTTGTAGAAAAACAAAAATAAACGAAAGATAAACCATGTCACATATCGGAGTCGGGTTTTTGTTATTAACAAAAAAAAAACATAATTTTTATTTAAAAATCATATTCTTATCCGATTTGCGTAAATTACATAGGTATTCATTTATAGACAAAGATTCTCTCAAAATTTAAGGCCTTTAGTTTGAGAATGGTATAGGTAACGTATGGCTGGCCCCATCGGCAACGCCTTACACTGATCTCCCAGGGTTATTTTACCCCCTTTCAGTTCTTCTACGTATTGTGTGTTTGCTGGATCCGATAAGGCCACTCCCGGAATTTTGTCGCTGGGCTGGGCCATACGCCCGATTTAGGCTAGTGAAGTGCGGTACAAAGCCGGAAAACATTTTGGTTTTTGAGGGACATTAAACTGACCCAAAACTAAGTACAATCCGGAGTCCCCCTCAACCACGGTTCATAAATGGCGCTTGGATGGTTAGTACGCTGCTACGTGTCTGTTCGAGTCGGATTCCGAGCTTGCACCCCACTGTGCAGTTGTTTATTTCGCATAGAACGTATTACGTCTTTAAGGAGTCGGCTACTTAGGTTGGTTACCTAGTTTATGGTCCCCTTAAATGTGCTTCGTAATCTACAGATGTTTATTTTTTAGGATAAGTTTCTTTTGCCTAGTGTTTTCTAAACTTGAGTGATTAATGACTGCTTAAGTGAGCCCTTGTTTTTGAATGCTTTGTCCATGCTTGGGGTTCTTATGGAAACGGTTGGCGACTAATTAATTTTCACGTGGTAAAGTTCTTTGTGTTGAGGTTTCGAATTTTGCATTAAAATTTTATGTGGTATTTTAAGTCAACCTAGCAAGTGGACTCAGACCAAACTTTATAAGAAAAAACTAACATAGTTACTTCACACATGATATTATTATTATTTTAACAAAATAACGTAACTAAATAATTATCTAGTATTATTTAGTAAACTTTACATTTTGAAATGTTAATTTTAGATGCACAATCACCAATACAAGAAGAAGTTTACCGGATATTCCATCCGACCAAAATGCTGTAAATTGGGAACCCCATGGAGACAACTCATCAGAACATTATGCTACAGTTGGCCAGTACCACAATAATGGTAATTGTTTGTATTTAAACTTTAAATTGTTAAAAATTAAAACTTTATTTTAGCTAAAAGGCATACCCTGGCAAATGGAGACACCAGACCAAGTATTTCACAACATAGCTCCATGAGTCAGGCTGATGATTTTTCTCCCTATGAAAGAGTCAAATATGATAAAATACACAAAAGGGAACATCCATATGCCCACGTGCAGTCTAATAGCAGTAGGTCTGTTTTGCGTGAACAAAATCAGGCTGTTTCCGAAGAAAGAGTTAATTTATTAAGGTATGTAAACTTTGAAATTATTAAAATGTTTTATATAGGATTTACTTTTAACCGTTTGTACTAAATAATTTTTTTTAAGTAACAATAAAATTTGTAATTCGTAATACTGTAAGATCCCAGAGCCCAGAGAGACATTTTAATACTGCTAAGATTTTTTCAATAAATGTAGTTAAAAACGTATGCGTAATTGCTAGCTTGAATGCGGGGCCCTTTATCAGATAACAGGCAGTAATAGTTATTTATTTCCACCTTCTTAGTAAATGACACTTTATAGGTTAATTTTGTTGTTTTTGTATCCAAGTAAACGATACATTATGAGAACAGACCTGTAATATTTTACGGGCTTGTATAAAAGACCTGTAAAGTTTTACAGGCTTGTAGAAAAAGCAATTTATGAAATGAAATGACACATTTGACACATTAATTGAAATATTTAAATATAAAAATCGTTATCTAAAGGTGAAAATAAAAGTTTGTACGTGTCACGCTTTGCAATTAATCTTTACTAGTCTCACTGGAATATGGGTTCGCTCCTGCGTCGCTTACCCACAAACTTCCAGCTCGCCCGTAAAGATTCATTTACAAAGCTTGACACGTAAATAACTATTACGTGTCAAGCTTTGTAATAATATTCCAGTGAGCCTAGTAAAGATTAATTGCAAAGCGTGTCACGTTTTATTTTCACCTTTAGATAACGATTTTCAAATTTAAAGTTTTAATTAATATGTCAAATGTGACATTTCATTTCATAAATTGCTTTTCTACAAGCCTGTAAAACTTAACAGGTCTTTTAAACAAGCCCGTAAAATATTACAGGTCTGTTCCCATAATGTATCGTTTACTTGGTTACAAAAACCACAAAATTAACCTATAAAATGTCATTTACTAAGAAGGTGGAAATAATAGTTATTTACGTGTCAAGCTTTGTAAATGAATCTTTACGGGCGAGCTGGAAGTTTGTGGGTAAGCGACGCAGGAGCGAACCCATAATCCAGTGAGACTAGTAAAGATTAATTGCAAAGCGTGACACGTACAAACTTTTATTTTCACCTTTAGATAACTTTTACGTGTCAAGCTTTGTAAATGAATCTTTACGGGCGAGCTGGAAGTTTGTGGGGTGAGCGACGCACCTTTAGATAACGATTTTCAAATTTAAAGTTTTAATTAATATGTCAAATGTGACATTTCATTTCATAAATTGCTTTTCTACAAGCCTGTAAAACTTTACAGGTCTTTTAAACAAGCCCGTAAAATATTACAGGTCTGTTCCCATAATGTACATTACGTGTCGTTTACTTGGTTACAAAAACCCACAGACCACCAAAAACCACAAAATTAACCTATAAAATGTCATTTACTAAGAAGGTGGAAATAAAGGTACATAAAAGTAGTCCTTGTCTACTTTAAAGTAATACCACTGGTTTTTATATGTTTTACACAATGTTATTAAAAACCAACATTCATTATTGCCAGACGCATTCCAGGGGGCCTAACTTCCGCCAGACGCTTTAAAGCTTGAGAAAAAGAGCTGAACCTATGTTATAGCGGTACTCCTGAATTTTCTATATATTATTTGGCTGATTATTTTAAGACCTTTTGTAAGCAGCCAGACCAATCCGAAGGGCCTAACCCCCCAGACGATTTAAAGCTCTAGAAAAAATGAGGGAACCTACGTTACAGTAGTACTCCTGAATTTTAAATATTTTATTTGGGTGACTTTTAAGACCTTGTATAAGCAGCCAGACCAATCCAACGGCCTAAGCCCCCCAGACGCTTTAAAGGTTAAGAAATAATGGGGGAACCTATGTTATAGTAGAATTTCATATATATAATTTGGGCGATTATTTTAAGACCTTTTGCCAGACCAATCTAAAGGGCCTAACTCCCCCAGATGCGAGAAAAAATGAGGGAACCTACGTTATAGTAGTACTCCTGAATTTTATATATATATTTATATATTATTTCGGTAACTATTTTAAGACTTTTTATAAGCAGCCAGGCTAATCCGAAGGGCCTGACACCATAAAAGGAACATTCATTAATTATGTGATGTATTTTTCTGATAATTTAGACCCCCCCTCCCCCTTGGTGAGATTTGGTGAGATGTGGAATTTCCTAAATTATCTAAAAAAAACCTTCTTCTTCTTTCTTTCTTTATTGGCCTTGGTCTGTGTAAACCATATCAGCCAGTGGTCTGGATTCTTAGCTCGTTATCCTGGGTAGTATGTTGGTTGTTAACGTGATGGTAAAAAGGAATTTGGGTATTAGGTTTTATATATTAAGCGTAGCCATGCAAAGCGGGTAGGTCAGGGCAAATGGAAGCAGGGGGTTTTACAGGTTGATGTTAGTTGAATCTAGGAAGGCGAGTACTGCTACTATAATTTCGTGCGTAGGGTTATTTAAGATGTTTGTCAAATTTATGGGATTGATGTGGATTCTACTTAGTTTTCTATATAGGATGTTGTGGTCTGTCTGTGTTGGACATTCTAGAAAAATGTAGTGGAGGTCTTGTTCGGTGGCTCCTTAGTCACACGAAGGGCTAGTTTCTGAGCCAATTCTATGTAAATGGGATTTTGTGAGACAGTGACCACTTCTTAGTCTCAGGAAGGTAGTGATGTGTCTTCTATCTAGAGAATTGATTGGCTTTTGAAGTTCTGGTGTATGTGTGGAATAATCTGCCTGATTGAGTTCCTTAAATTTGTTTTTCCATCTCTTGTGTATGTCGTGTTTTATTAGTTTTATGAGATCTTCATAGTGTGTTCTGGTTTCTGTTAGGTCTTACAACTTGCATCCTTTGCTGGCTAGGTTGTCCGCTATTTCGTTGCCGGGGATGTTCGTGTGGCTGGGGACCCAGCAGAATTCTACTTTGACTCCCTGTACTTCTAGATTGTGTAGAGTGGTCTTAGCTTCAAATGTGAGAGAGTCTTTTTTGCACTGTTGTTGGTGTTACAGATTTGTTACAGAAATGCTGCCTGGGAGTCTGAGAGGATGATGAAGTGTCTTCTTCCGAATTGGATATGGCTGTTTGTCGCGTGTAACATGTCGCTATGAAGGCGTGGTTTGGGAGTCTGGCGGAGTATTTTAGTTGATTGGAGGGGCTATAAACTCCTGATCCAACGCCGACTTGGCTGACTGAGCCGTCTGTGTAGTAAGCTTCCAAGCCTTTCCATTTGTTTTGATTAGTGCAGAAAAGCCTGTTTATTTTCCGTTTGTTTTCCGAGAGCGGGTAGGTGGATCTTTCTTTTACCGGTGATGGAGTCGAAGTTTGTGTTGAAGCAGGGGAGGAGGGGGAAAGTTTTTATCGAGGCTGTTTTGTTGAGGAAAAAGTCCAATGCGTAGACTATAGGGATAGGAGATTTGATTGCCCAGTATATTCCATCGTCATAAAAAAACCCTCAGGGACAAGTGTTTAGTGATGGGCGTTCCGGGTCACTCTTTTGAACCGGGTCACTGGATCTGGATCACATAAACTTTATGTTTATGTTAAAAATGTTTATCACTTTAATATTTAGGAGCCTTTATTATAAAGCAATTATAAGGCATAATAGCATTATAAGGCAATACAAATTGTTATTTTAATAATATTATAAAGGCTAGATAATTAATTTTACATTGTATTGCATTAAATTAAAATTTTATAAAACAATAAAAACTCTATTACTTTAATATTTTACCTGATAAATGTAAGTTTACACAATTTAAATTAATTAATATTAAAACCAAATTTTAAACGGCATTGACATAAGGGAAATCATCTCATATTTCTGTGGGTTTGTAAAAAATTACCAAAAGTATAAATTTGCCTAACGAAGTAACGCGCCACAGAACACAGAACGCAAGAAGTTCGGACCCGAACGATGCGACCGGCATAGGCACTAGCAAGCTGCATGATACAACAGTTATGATCGAGCCGCGCCTAGAGAATCGAGATGTTTTGGTCAGATCTGGATCACAGAAAACAAAACGTACTGCGAATTTTAAAGAGCGCGAGTCGTTCTTAGCTCCAGGGAGCCGGTTCAGATCTTACTAACATATCTCTCGCGGCCTGTGCATTAGGGTGAGCCAAAAAAAACTAACCTATCGGATTTATGGGTTAAAATGAACCTACATACCGAGCAAAAAATTTCCCTGCAAGGCAAAATTTTTTGCTCAATTTTAAAAGGTGTCGGTGAGCATTCTAAGTTTTCCATTGAAATAACACGTCAAAAAATCTTTTTTCATTAAAAAGACTATAACTTTTGAACCGTTTGAGATAAAAATTTTTACGTCGCGGATTCTTGTAGAGCATAAAATTTCCCAAAGAATCTATACCAGGATTATTTTTTTTAATTCAAAAATTCGTATGTTGAATGCTCACCGACACCTTTTAAAATTGAGCAAAAAATTTTGCCTTGCAGGGAATTTTTTTGCTCGGTATGTACTGTCCGTTCAGGCTAAGTTGAGCGGTCTAAGGAATGTCACCCCGTCCATCATCTCTATGTTCAGGCACAATTAAATACATGTATTTCGGTAGCCGCTCTGTACGAACAAACGGCAAGCCGCGGTACTGATAAATCATCTTCTTGTTACCCAAATCTCGCGACGATTCGATGCTTAATTTAATTAACGGCCACATGATCCCCCACCAAAGCGCTCAACTTAGCCTGAACGGACTATAGGTTTATTTTAACCCATAAATCCGATAGGTTAGTTTTTTTGGCTCACCCTACTGTGCATAGCGAGTGGTGAATCAGTGAATCGTAGCCTAGAACGGCCTGCGCGCGGTCGCTATTCAAACACAGTTTTTTTTTTTTTTTATTGACTTTTAGTCTGTTGAAGACTATTTAGCCAGCTCATGATAGGTATTTATTTTTGTTTAATAAACAACCACAACACCCAAGGCTGTGACCGGGAATCGAACCCGGTACCGTGGCGCAGATTGATTACCGCTCTGTAGCTTTAACGCACTGCGCCATCCTCGGCCCCTTCAAACACAGTTCTCTGCTTTGTAATTTCGAACCCGTGAGCCGGTTCGTTTAATTTAATAACGGTTCACGTAGATCACTTATAAGACTCGGTTCACTGAGCCGGTTCAGATCTGACCGACACATCTCTACTTTAAATGTATTGTTGACAAACCTTGTAGTTAATAATGATATCGAGCGCCACCAGATGATGCGCGCATTTCGAAAACCATATGCTTCTTTAGCGTCTGGACAAAAATTAAATTATAAACTAAAGACTACCGTAAACAAGGGTGGCTTTAGCTCACTTTAAAACTTAATCTTAACATTTTTGTAGTTTTAACAATCATAAACATTAAATATTGTATACCAAAATTTGAGTCTTGAGTTGCTCTTTCATAATAACTATGTTACATAGGGCTGAGTTTCAAGAATAAAAATTAAAAACTGGGTGTGCAAAGTTACCCCCTGGTTGCGGGTTACTTTGTCTCACAGTGTATTTTCCGTATAAAATTAACTCAATATTTTATTTTATTTTTATTAGACATATGTTAATATAAACTCAATAGAATCGCTCAATTGACAGGTTTAGACCAACAAATTATAAATGTTAATTTTATCGAGCGCGAAAAGATTTTTCATAAAAGGGCTAAAGTCACCCGCGGGGTGCAAAGTCTAAATTATATTAAAACATTAACACATTTTTTTTCTTTTTTTATAGGGTTGATGGTCAGGGTACTTCTAGTGAAACGGCAGCTCCTTCCCGATCTCGTCGTTCGTCTGCCCAAAGCGCAATTGGAGTCGATATACCTGCCGCCTCCGCGGTGGCGGGAGGTATCGCCGCCAGTCCCGACCTGCCTTATATGACTCCGCCCGTTACCCAAGCCAATTTTAGTGGAGATTCACAAGATTCCTCAAGTAAGTCTACCAGAACACTTGTATTTAAAAAAGTTATTAAGCAAAGACATGTTTTTGCCGTTTCAAATAAAACTCACTTAAAATGTTCACTTTGGTTCTTGCCTTGTGCTTGTCTTTTGCTCTGAACTATCTTATTTTCATCTGATGGATTCACACAATGCCTGAAAAATGGAACTTGCCTTAGAAAGTTGTTATTCAGCTATTCCCAGCAGTCTAAACTTGTCGAAATTCGTTTTTCTCAAATAGTTCAAAGGACTCTAGATTGATCTTTATGATGATGCATTTTCTGATGATGAAACGTCGAAAGGTCAATTTGAGGATGCTGTCTGACTAAGAATTTCCTCAGGATTCCAAATATGTAAAAATATATAGGGCATTCAATTTAAAAATCGAAAAATTAATTTTGTAAGTGGCATTTTATATCCTAATTAACCATGCCAAATTTCATGTGTCTATCTTTATAAATAAAAAAGTTACAGGGGTGCGCCTATTCTCAGATACACCCGGTATATATATGGGGAATTCCACTTGAATTCGACACGACAAAAAAACCCTTGCCATTTCGAAATTACTCGGCAATTTTTCGATGGGTTCCCTGATTCAAAATATAAATTCAATTTTAATTTTAGCACGGTTTATCAATTGTTTTTGGAGATATAATTTTTTAAATTTTCATGATTAAACGATTTTGCCATCATCGATCATAACTTTGGTTCCAATTGAAACAAGCTATTTAAAATATTTTTTTGATGCTGTGGCATATCGGCAAACTATGATTTTTTCCTTCAAAAACTAAAAATCCATTTTCTACAGTTTGTATTTTTTGCGGAAATGAATCACCCTAATATATATATATATAAGGCCAAAAACAATTTTTTTTTAGTTTCAGATTTTTAATAGTTAAAAAAAGTTGCTTGCCTCCGTTTTATTTTTAAAAAGTTTTTGCAAAAACCTGTAGTTTATACATAATATGTATGTATGTATGTGTGTATGTATTACATATCCCTACATAGCAAAATTATAGTTTTAATAACATTTTAGTGTTTACAGGGTCCGCCAGAATTAATAAAATTCACAAAATACCTATCACTATTTACACGTTTACTACAAATCAGTTCCTTGCTTACTTTGTTTAAATAAAAAAAACCTGAGCTCACCGCGTGGAGGTGACTGCTTATCAAGCTCCTACACCTCCCAGCCCCACCTACCAACCTAAGCTATGACTTTCACGACCTTGAAAAAATATTAATTAATTTATATTCTTTTTTGGTTTCAAAAGTTGGTCTTTTATATTAAATTAAAATTTATAATTACAAATTAATATAGAAAATAATTTGTAATTCTAAATTTTAATTTAATATAACTCCCACTCCTTCACTTATGGACAAGTATGGAGCTTGATTGAGAGCAATTAAATAAAGAAATATAACGTTTAATTTAAGGTTGTGGCAGGCCCTATAAACGATTGAAACAAAAATTGGTATGGATATTATTTGATCCTAAAGGAATCTTTTTGTAACTATTACATCAAAGGAAACAACTTTTTTTTTTCACTCCACCCTAATATATATATATATATATATATATATATATATATATACTAGGGTGTTCCTTATTTAGGGGTCGGAAAAAATTTAACAGAGCCGCCCCCCAAATCGGTTCCAAATCATAAAAAAAAAATTCCTGCAAAATTTTAGGTCATTCGGTCAAAGGGAACACGTGCCCCACAGGGGTTTTTTAAGAAATAATTGAGAAAATTCGGAAGGCTGATATAACTCCGAAACGGTCCATCGTAGGAAAAAAAAGTGTATATAAATTTTATGTGTTTTTTTTAGATAAACAACTTTCGTAATAACAGTCCTGCGTTAAAAAAATTTATTCGGGGTCAAAACGCGATAAAACGCTTTTTTGTGTACTTTAGCGCTACCTACTTTTTCAATTTTCTGTCCTAGAGCATCGACCCAATGACATAAATTGTAGGGGATCAACTTTCCTAATGCCTTTGTCACAATAGTGTTAATGTTAATGGTAATGTTAATAAAGCATAGACAAATGCGTGTATCAACGCAAAAAAAAATCTTGCAAAATTTGAGGTTAATCGGCAAAAATAACACGTAAATTTTGCAAGATTTTTTTTTGCGTGAATCATTGTGGCCTCAGTAGCGTAACTAGGGGGGGGGGGGCGGCGGGGGGGGGCGGTCCGCCCCGGGCGGCACTTCTTGGGGCGGCAAAAATCGTGAGAGAAAATGCGAAAAAAACTGGAAGACAGAATATAAAAATAAAAAAAATATTTGATAATTAAATATTCTCTTTCGAAATAATATAATTCAAATTCCAATAGATTTGAGATTTATACAATTACTCCCAAAATATTCCAAATCAAATAAAGCTAGCAAAAAATAGTTGTTTTTCTTTACCTAGGTCTAAGAATTTTTGTTTGTTTTTAATTCTTAAAATATTACAATTTAATGTTATATATATGTTATATACAGGGTGTTTCATAATATATGCGCAGGACTTTTTTAGAAAAAAAATCGTTTTTTTAGATTATCTCTGGAACCGTTTATCGTACAAAAAAAAAGCTTTTGTAAGCATTTTCTACTCATAATAAGCTATGTTTTGTGCCAGAAAAAAATTTTTTTCCCTCATAATTGGTGGAGATTTTGAAGGGGTAGCAGGTGTTTTTCTTCTCAACTTCTACGCCCCTGAAAAAAGTACGGTTTTGAGAGGCCCATTCGAACCGCCAATGTTTTCTACAGAAAAAAGGTACTCTTGGTCATAAGCTCTAAAGTTGACCGTTTTCGAGAAAAATCAACTTTTATGTTTAAAAACATGGTCAATTTTTTGAAAAAAAATTTTATTACTAATTAAACAAAATTTATTTTAACGTTAGAAAAAGTAACAAAACCAAACGATAATTGCAAAATTAAAAAAAAAAATAAAAAATGATTTTTTACTCAAATGCTGAAATGTGCGAAATGCGTTACCTTTACGGTTTGGAGAATTAAGCAAAGACAACTTTTAAATCATTTTTTATTTTGCAATTATGGTTTGGTTTTGTTACTTGTCCTAACGTTAAAATAAATTTTGTTTAATTAGTAAAAAAAAAATATTTTTTTTTTGAAATTGACCATGTTTTTAAACATAAAAGTTGATTTTTCTCGAAAACGGTCAACTTTAGAGCTTATGACCAGGAGTACCTTTTTTGTGTAGAAAACATTGGCGGTTCGAATGGGCTTCTCAAAACTGTACTTTTTTCAGGGGCGTAGAAGTTGAGGAGAAAAACACCCGCTACCCCTTCAAAATCTCCACCAATTATGAGGAAAACAATTTTTTTTCTAGCACAAAACATAGCTTATTTTGAGTAGAAAATGCTTACAAAAGCTGTTTTTGTACGATAAACGGTTCCGGAGATATTCGAAAAAAACGAATTTTTTTTCTAAAATTTCAACACCCTGTATCTCGAAAATTGTGCATTTTATAGCGTAACTTAATAGCGACTTTTTTCATCTTTTTGGATGAGCTATCACATCCTGAAGTCCTGCGCATATATTATGAAACACCCAGTATATAATTATATATTTTTAATTTTGCGTACGGTCCTCAAAACTGACTTCTAACCTAACTTCTCTTCCCCCCCAAAAAAAAACATGAGGGCGACAGCCACTGCTGCCCCGGGCGGCACTTTTTCTAGTTACGCCGCTGTGTGGCCTTATAAGAAAAGCCTAAACTCAACTGCGTTATCCTAGTCCGGATTAAGGAGAAAACTCATCTGCGTTATCCTACTCCGGATTAAGGAGAAAACTCAATTTTTGTTTTTTTATATTTTATTTTTCTCAAAAACGATAAGATTTAGAAAAAAAATTTTAATCAAAAAATGTAGTCCCTACAATTTATGTTATTAAGTCGATCGAAAATTTCAGAAGTAGGTAGGGCCAAAGTACCAAAAAAAGCGTTGTATCGCTTTTTGAACTCGATTTTTTTTTAAAGCAGCACTATTATTATATCTCACAATAGTGTTAATGTTAATAGTAATGTTAATGTTAATACCCAAAGCATAGAAATATGCGTGTATCCGTTCACAATGATGGTAATGTTGATGGTTACGTTGATACACGCATTTGTCTATGCTATATAAACATTACCATTAACATTAACACTATTGTGACAAAGGCATTAGGAAAGTTGATTAGCTTGAAAAAAAACTACAAAATTTATTTAAACTTTTTTTTCCTACGATAAACCGTTTCGGAGTTTCGGAGTGTTTTTGGTGAAAACTCAAAAAGTTTTGGATTTAATTTTTTTCAAAATCGGTTAGTTTAAGAAAAAAATTTTGTCAACAAAAAATGTAGGGTGCATTGTCCCCTACAATTTATGTCATTGGGTCGATGCTCTAGGACAGAAAATTGAAAAAGTAGGTAGCGCTAAAGTACACAAAAAAGCGTTTTATCGCGTTTTGACCCCGAATAAATTTTTTTAACGCAGGACTGTTATTACAAAAGTTGTTTATCTAAAAAAAACACATAAAATTTATATACACTTTTTTTTCCTACGATGGACCGTTTCGGAGTTATATCAGCCTTCCGAATTTTCTCAATTATTTCTTAAAAAACCCCTGTGGGGCACGTGTTCCCTTTGACCGAATGACCTAAAATTTTGCAGGAATTTTTTTTTTATGATTTGAAACCGATTTGGGGGGCGGCTCTGTTAAATTTTTTCCGACCCCTAAATAAGGAACACCCTAATATATACATATTGTACCAAATTTTAACCTTTTTCATCCAATAATGACGATACGAATAGCGAAACTGACACTTAACGACACTTTTATCGTTAACGATATCGTCATGACGAGTCGTCAAAATTAAAAAGATGTTTGTAAGCTTTGTTTCTCAGAATTGAATAAAATAATTGCATTGTAATACAAAATTATGTTAATAAACTCGCTGCAATATAAATTAAATAATTTAAATTAATTGACGACCCGTCAGACGATTAGGATAAGTGTCTATCGTCATAACGAGTCGTTAAGAAGCTTCCAAACATTGTTTCTCATTATATCGAATGAAATATTTAAATTTTGATGTATAATAAACTTGCTGCAATAGAATTTTGAGTTAAGTAATTAAAATAAATTGACGACACGTCTGACGACGACACGAACGATATCGTTATTGTTAATAGGGTTGGAGAAAATATTCTTTGACAGACAGGCAGACAGACAGACGCCTAAGCGATCCTATAAGGTACATTGGATGTACAAAACCCTAAAAATATATCGCGTATTTCATAAATTTGTTGTCCTAGTCAGTATTGTTAAAATTTTAGAGGGATACACCAGTATTAGTGTCAGAGAACCACTGGCTAACATAATGGCTCAGACCAAAGAAATGAGCAAAAATAAGAGAGACCAAGACCCACATTATGCCACTGTATCAGACGATTCTGGTAAGTTCAAATTTAAAACACCTACAAAAAAATGCATCAACTTTTATGTAGACGACGTCTATACGACAATACCCGATCCAAACCAAATATACACAAGCGAAAGCGAAACCTACGCGCGCATACCAGCGTTGCCGATAACGACCGAAGTGGAAATTAATGCCGTTCCTTTCTTAAGTGAGCGGGATTCTACAGGCGAATTGAACGGTCCTGTGTACGATGCCGCCACCTCTCAACCTCCCCCACCCAGCGTCGACAGCTTGAAACAAGTGGCAGGGCATTCCAAAGGCCACTCCAGACAAGGTTATTATTCATAAAGTGGAAAATATTTAAATTTACTTATTACGTTTTTTTTTCAGCGTCAACCTCGAGTTCTGTGGCAAATATAGGATCACCCAAGCCTGAAAAACGACAAGCTAATTCACCTCTACCCCCTCCACCGATGACAAGTTCATTCGATTTCCAAACAGAGAAAGTGTCGCGAAATTTGGAAGACATGTACGCTAAAGTGCACAAAAACAAAAAAGAATGCACGCCAAGTGAAAAATCCGTTGAGAATCACACCCCAGATCCATCCTCAAGAAATTCCGTGGGAGTTGTGGAAGAACGGAGAAGGAAAGAACATAACTATGAAACGCTTAAAAAATCGCCGCGTAAAACAAGTGATCCAGGCTACGAAAAAATAGGAAACGAAGAGCCAGGTTACGCCAGTATTAACGGACCGGAAAGTATTAACAGCAGCGACCCGGGGTACGAAGTCCTTAAAAACCGAACCACCTCAGAATCGGACCCAAACTACGAGCAACTGCGACACCGAACCTCGAACGCGAGCGACTGTGCGGGATATTCGAGAATCAAAGAGAAATCGGACGGGTATTCGGTCGTGAATAAACGTCCCAAAACCGGCGACTACGAAAACAATTCCGAGCCAGACTATAACAGCGAATCCGATCCAAATTACGAGTCGGTAAATCAAAATGATCCAAACTACGAAAGTGTAAAGGATTTCGAGCCGCCGTACGAACGGTTGGACGACGATTCGAGTCGAACGGATTCTGATTTGACTGCATACGAGAAAATCAAGAAGAAAAGTACCGACACTTCGGAGAGTTCAAGTGCGGATAAATCGTCCGATCCGCCGTACGAGCAGCTGGCAAACGATACCGATTCCGAAGTTCCCGGTTACGAACGAATACAAAACTTCAGCACGTCCGATTTGGCCATTAACACAGAGTCGGATTATTCGACGATAAAAAGTTTAAAAAGGAACAAATCAAGTAGCAATATTCACGATGAAGATGCAATATTTCAGGTTTAATAATTGTATCAGTATTTCATGCCTAGAACATGGTGCTAAGTAATCTATACTTACTTTAAAAATTAAATTATGTGATTACTAAACTTTTAAAAAATTTAACACGTTTTTCAACTCCAGCCAAAACTACTTTTGATTTGATAGGTATTACTTTTTAAATATTTTTATGCCAAACAGTTCTGATTATGCTACTGCTTCTTAAGAATAAAATCATTTTTATACAAGTTTGTTGCAATATTATAGTTTTTTATAAACATGTTTTTATTTATATTAACTTATATTTATTGTGTGTACTGTTTTTAATAAACTGATTTATAATATATGACAATTTTATATACAGAAAACAATCATTTAGTTATTAAACTCCTGATGGGAGTAAGCGAAATGAGCGCGATTGTGCATGGTATGTCCCAAGATTGCCCCAATAATTGAAGACAGTATGCCATAATCTTTAAACTGAGTTTAGTGCCCAAATATTTGGGACAGCCTGCCGCAATTCTTAGGATTCGTATATTCGCTAGTATTTCCGAGCAAGGGGCGACAAGTAGGATTTTCGGTGAATAAATGTTATGCGACGCTAAAGATCGGGTTTTCGTAACGCGCACGCCAACTCGTTTCGCAACGCGCGCGCCAGCTGGTGGCGCTTAATAGCTTATTGGACTTGGTTTGTCAACAATACATTTGAGGTGCATTCCAAAACTCGGCTTATCCATATTAGTTGTTTTCGAGCAAAATATAAAAAACCTTACACGTGAGTACTAACGCATATCAGGGAAACACAATTAGAGATGTGTCGGTCAGATCTGAACCGGCTCAGTGAACCGGGTCTTATAAGTGATCTACTTGAACCGGTTCACGAAAATTAAACGAACCGGCTCACGGGTCCGAAATTACAAAGCGGCCGCGCGCAAGCCGTACTAAGCTCCGATTCACTGCTTCACCACTCGCAGCGAGTGACTCGCTATGCTGCTGCAGTGCATTGTACAGGCCGCGCATGGCGAGCCGCTCGGGCCGTGAGCGGCGGGTCGCGAGAGATCTGAACCGGCTCCCTGGAGCTAAGAACGACTCGCGCTCGCAGTACGTTTTGTTTTCTGTGATCCAGATCTGACCAAAACATCTCGATTCTCTAGGCGCGGCTCGATCATGACTGTTGTATCATGCAGCTCGCTAGTGCCTATGCCGGTCGCATCGTTCGGATCCGAACTTCTTGCGTTCTGTGGCGCGTTACTACGTTAGGCAAATTTATACTTTTGGTAATTTTTTACAAACCCACAGAAATATGAGATGATTTCCCTTATGACAATGTCGTTTAAAATATATTTTTAATATTAATTAATTTAAATTGTGTAAACTTACAACATTTATGTTTTATAAAATTTTAATAAAATAAATAGTATGGTATAACAAAACTACAATGTAATATTTAATAGCCTTTATAATATTATTAAAGTAACAATTTGTATTGCCTTATAATGTAATAAAGGCTCTTAAGTATTAAAGTGATAAACATTTTTAACATAAACTTACAGTTTATGTGCTCCGAATGATTTCATTGGGTGTTATTTTTAATTAGTCTGAGATTCAAACGGTTCTTTTGAACCGGTTCGTTGAACCGGTTCACTTATGTGATCCAGATCTAGTGATCCGGTTCAAAAGAGTGACCCGGAACGCCCATCACTAAATGGTGGGTTTTGATTACGAAAAAACATATGGATTTAAAAAAACAGCAGCCACTCTGATATCACCATATGGTATTTAAAAAAGTTGAGTTAATTAAAAAAAACAATTCATCAGCAACATTTACTATTTATGCATTTTACTGCAAATTTTGATGGTAAAAATAATTCCTTCTAAAAATTGCAGCTTTCTGAATTGAAAAATAAAACTGGACAAAAATTCAAGGTAAATTTCAAAATGGTAGCGAATGAACATCTATCGGATTCAAAATTTTCTCCAGATTGTTTCTTTGGAAAAACGAAAGTTGACCAATTTCCGACGAAACCGAAAGTTATTTTTTTATTGCAAGGCGCCGGCCATTTTGTAATTAACGAATTTAATTTCTGCATTTTGGATGTCATATTTGGATTCCGTGAACCCAAATACCCCGTTTACATAGAAAATTTATAATTTTTTATGTCATTTAGGTTTTGTTATAAAAGTTATAAAGTGCTCTTTAAGTTCCACCCTTACATCCAAACTAAGATGTCCCATAAGCCAACTGAATGGCTTGTGCGGGTTAGGGGTAGGAACGGACCGACGGCTTAAAGTCCCCTCCGAAGGACTATACACAATGGACAAACACACCCGGTTCAGGTGGGCCCCCAAATCTTAAGTAGTCTTTCTCAGTCCAACGAAAAACTATCTAAAATTTAGGAAAAATTAAGCCGGCGAAAAAAAACCGTTTTTTAAGGAAAAAATAAATTGGGAAATTTTCAGAAAAATTGACATTTTTCTCATTTTATTCAAAGAGTAATGCAAAAAAATGCAAGTCAATTTTTCTAAAAATTTACAAATCTTTACAGATATGTAGGTAGGTACTATCCGTACACTGATATCGAGAAAAAAGTGAATAATACCATTTTCTTAAATCCATTTAATTTAATTCAATGTTTAGTTTTATTTTTTTTTTTAATTGAATTAATTGTAAGTTGTTGATTGCTACTTTTTTCAAATGTATATACCAATTTTTTCGTTTTTTTTCGACACTTTAAAACCCTAGTATAGGTATACATATTTCAGGACCCAGCTTTACCATAAAATATAAACTGATTAAAAAAAATACCCCGGAGATTTCAAGTTTCTAAAGAATAACATGCTATGAAAAAAAACAAAATATAAAGTCAAAACTAAAAAAGATTTAGTCTCGGGAGCCCCAACTGCAATCCATCAGAAAGTAGAAAAAATTACATTAAATAATGGTTAATCTTAGACTGTCATGAGTGGCCCCTTGATTTTAAAATTTAAATTATTAACAAGTTTAAATATAAGTATACTTTTAAGTTCACTGAAAAAAGCTTGTAATCAATTTTCATATCCCTGATTACATTAAGAGTGTTGCAAAGGACTTGCTAAGAGGATCTACTAACAAATTTAAAATAAAACATTAATATCCCATACAGCACAAGATGTCCATTGGACGTCCAATGGACTTACATTGGACATCCAAACGTCCAATGTAAGTCCATTGGACATCTTGTGCTGTATGGGATATTTACAAAACAATCACATCATTTCATAAGCAGACTGGGGGCCCCATTTTATTTTACCGCCCCGGGCCCCTGACGGGTTTAGTCCGCCACTGCATGTTTGTAATAAATAAAAAAGATAAATGTACGGAATCAGTTATTTGAGAAAAATTTAAAAAAAATTTTTTTTAAGTAGAAGGATGTAATTGAATATTAAAACATAGTTTTTCATTTCCAACAACTTTACTTAATTAGTTTTTGATATTGTCACAAATAAAGGTACTTGACTCTTGTACCAAATTCATATTTTTTGCCCCTTGTACATGACTGAAAAAATTTTATATCTGATTTTATTTTAGAACATGCAGAACTTTTTAAAAAGAATACTTAACTTTTCTTTGTAAAATTAATAATAAGAAAGTTTCCCATATGTTTCCAACTTAAGTAGACACACGTGTGTACTGAATAAAAATGTTTTTATTTATATCCTAACCAACTTTAATTTCATAAAAAGATCCATTATGTATTAAAAGTCTTTTATTACAAGTTAACAAAGTTAACATTAATTATTCCCTATGAAAATGTAGTCACCTGTACAATCAGGTATTACAATGCATTATCACAGAATAAAATAGTTCAGTATACTGAATTATAATGGTAATGCAAACAAATTATTTACACTTTACAACTTAACGTTCACTTTTATTCCACGTTCAGCTAATTTTTTTAGTTTATTGTTGGCATTTCTTAGGGAGGTTCTAGTTTTTCTTGCTTTTTCTTCCATTGTTAGAACTTTATTTTTGGTTTGAACTTGCCTTGTTCTTCTGGTTTTTACAGAAAATGTGGTTGCATTACTACTTTTGCCATGAAATAATGACTTTGGTCTCTTTTCATAGGGCACAAATGTAGCTAAAAACAATAAAAATATAATTAAAGAAAAATACAATTTTTTTAAAGGAGACATACCTTCTATTCTCTTTTTAAACATGAGATAATTGTTCATGGTTTCTGCAGCAATCTTTGCAATTTCCGGATTAGCAAATTCAATATAACCAAATCCTTTACTTCTACCAGTTTTGCACGATCTACAAACTTTAACATTTGTTACATTACCAAATTGCTTAAAATATTCTTTTAATTCATCTTCGTAAAATCCATGGGGCAAATGCGAGATATAAATTAAGCCTCTCTTTAACTCTGCAGTCAATTTTTCTTGTTTCTTTACTTCAGATACGTTTATTTTTCCAGTCTACAACAAATTATAGGTTATATTGCGTCTTATACATATGTATTGATATGATAACTTACAGATAAGTCCTTTTGAAGCTTTTCGTTTTTTTTCACAACTTTCTTCTGATCTTTTTTGTTTAAAGCTAAAACCGTAGCTTGTGCCATTTTTGACCAATTCAACTAAATCAATTATTATTTTGCACGTGTTTACGCTGTCAAACACACTTCAAAAGAAGATACCCACACAAAATTTGAAGTGTTGCCAACATGTAGAATTAAATCAAAATTAATAAAGCAACGTTGCCAAAGCTGTAAAAAGTCACATTTTTAAGGAATTTTTATGTGTATTTTAAAAGGGTTATTAAAACAAAAAATGATTGTGGATCGTTAGGTACAATTTTATTTTAATACTGCTAATTATTTTATATTTTAGAATTATAAAGTACCAAAATGCGTTTTTTAAGGTATTGGAATAAAAATAACAAGCGTTGTGTAATAATTTTCCAATTAGGCACCAGTATTTCTTAATATTTTGAAGTTTTTTCATAACGTTTAAGAATTTTTTTAATATATTTTTTTTAATATTTTTATTTTAATTTTTTTTTGTTAAAAAGTAAAACAAACACATTCCTGGCTATAATCAGATCCTCTTGGCATACCATGGCAACTTCCATTCCAACCCATTTTTTTACAATCTGTCTCGCACCTTCTAAAATCTATGCATTTTCCGATTTTTTTATGAACTAAAAAACAATGATTAAATTAATTAAGCACAAATAAAATGTTTAAAGTACTACTTTAAAAGTAGTAGGATTGGGTCCGAAAATGTGGCTCCGAAACCATGGCACGATATATATATATACTATTATACTATAGTTTGCATTTTTTAAAAATTGCGCTATTTTTCAGACAATTGCCTATATATTCATTAATATATATTAATATTCTCCGAGAATTTATTATATATAGTATATAGTATAATACTATATATATAGTATAGTATGTATAAAGTTTTACAAACGCCATTTTAGACACGAATTTAATTTAGGCACGAGCGAGCTTGCGAGCGAGTGCTTAAATTAATGAGTGTCTAGAAAAGTATATAAAGAAGGTGCATACAATACTTTTTCTACGACAAATATTTATTATTATCTTAAAATGATTTAAATCAAATATTTGACTAGAGGCTAAATGTAGCAAAGTATTCCTCAAGGTTATGACAATTAGCTGTCATCTTGGTTATGCAGGTACACTGCATTGTGCCATATATATACCAAACCAACCCAAACTTAACAACCCAACCCAACCGACCCCGCCCCATATTGTCACAATCCAGCCTGCCCTTAGTCTAAGGGCCTTAGATATATAATACCTCTATTGCTACAAGAGTGTAGCCAGGATTTTTTTCAGGGGGGCAGGCAAGGGTAAACTATAGTTTACCCTTGCCTGCCCCTATATATATGCATGCTACAAAAAGTTTTGAGACTCCACCTCCCACCCATTTTCTAGCAAAATTTTTCTGGACATGCCCTTTTGATTAAAATAGTTTATTCTGAAGCCATAATTTATGTAAGTATATCAAGAATTAATTAATAGTTAACTAACATATGTTATCCTCTGGAGCATCGTTTCTTAACCTCGGGTCGCGACCCAAATTTGGGTCGCGGGCCACATCGAGATGGGTCGCGGGAGTTGCGGGACTTTTTAAAAAAGCGCGGCGTAATCACTGCATCCTTAATTTAAATTAGGAAAATGTAGAAAATTGATGATTATACTTTTTATCGGGTCGCGAGCTTCTAATATTTTTGAATTGTGGATCGCCAGCCAAAAAGGTTAAGAACCGCTACTCTAGAGTTTGTTTCTTAATTTTTTTATATTCTTGTCATAAATTTTAAATAACTTTTTTCCCTCTCGATGTCTTCGGCATCATTGCATTTATTTTTCAAAACATTTGCCTAAATGCCTAAAAAGGTGTTATTCCCAGATAACACAGGATCTTCCTGGGATATACCGCTAAGGTGCCACAAATGTCTCAATGTTTCGGACTTGGAAGGGATATCCCTTCCAAGTCCATATGTTACATATGTTCGTAAGATGTTTCTCTTTGTACATCCCCCTTAAAGTTACTTGGGAGGTTGTAGAAACATCCCTTATTAAAAAAAAAAAAAGTAACGTCAGAATAATTATTAAGCACATCTATTTTAGGTGTGCTTAATAATTATTATGACACTTTTAACACATAACATTTCCAAGTAGGTATTTTTTACTAGGCTGTGTCAAACAGTAAAGTAAAGCGTAGTGTAATATTCGATCGACAATAATTTTTTTGTTCGTTGTATCAAAAAGAACAATGTTTAATTTATTTTATTTCTCAGTTAGTATACCTAAGTCGACGATGGTACGAAAATTACGTAAACCACTAACACATTTTTATTAAAAAGTGGATAAGCTGAGTTTTGTAATGGACCTCCATATTTATATTTAACAGCGCCTAAAAAGCAAAGAAAATTCTGTTTTAATCTAAAAGGCAGAATAATAAGCGAAAATTATTTTTGTTTATACCAATATAAAGCCTATTTATTTCTGAGTTTAATACAAAAAACAGCTTATTCAATTTTAAAGGTCACAAATTAATTTTAAGTAGAAAAGTACCATTCCATACTACCGTAAGACGTCGCGTCGAAAGCCGCGTACAGCGTACACAGTTTGGAGCGTGAGCGGCCACCGCGGTGCACACTCAGCAGCATAATTTCGAGAAATAATTGGAGTTACTCCAATGGAGTATATGTGTTTTTTTTTTCGAGTCGACAACTGGCGCAGAAGCCAATTGAAGGGGTTAGAATAGAAAGGGTATAAGTGCAATTTCTTTAATTTAGGAGATAAGTACGTTTTGTGAAAGATAAGGTTCCGACGTATCGAAATTAAAAGGATTTAAGTAATTTTCATACTTCTAGGGACCTCTATTATCCAGTAGAAAAACATTACTAAACAAAATTCTTCACTTTTTTATGGTAACATAACTTTAACTTCAAATATCTCCAAAAAATGAAAATGTTACTTATACCCTTTTTATTCTAACCCCTTCAATTATTTTCGAATTTGTTTAAAAAAATCGACCTAAATGCAAATTGTACAATTGAAAAAAATAACAAAGAATGTCAAAACAAGATTCCAACGCTAGTTATATCGTTGGAATCGGATAATTAGTTCAGCCATAATAATTTTTTTTTATTTTTAATTTTTAATTTTATTATCAATGACAATGGTTTTTTTATCCTTTTGGATTTGTGTTAGTGATGTAAAATACTATCGAAATGTATCTACATTCAAAAATTAATTTTGACTTAATTCAGGTGTTGAGAAATTCTGACCCAGATATAAACCCAAATACAGGTATCTGAGGATGAAACCAGATAAAAGCAGACATAGAACCAAATAGATAAAACCCGACGTTCGCGAATAATATTTATACCCGCAATTGCAGATAAAAACCGACATGCCGGGTAAAATCAGATATGTCGGATAAAACCAGATATTAATGGACATAAAACTAGCGCATCTTGCGCTAGTTTAGCTCTAGCGCCGGGGGTTGCCAGTAAACTGACAATAGAGTCGTGGAGTCCAGTATAGGTTTGTCCGCCGATAGTGACTGTTTTTTTATTGTATTTTATTTAAAACAATCATATCGTAAACATTAATTCTGCCGGACTTGGGTGTTTTCACCTAATGAATCCTCGTAAATATATCCTTAATTTAAATTACAAAAGAACAAACAATAGTCTGCGTATTCGGGCTCGCGCGCGTACATTTGCGCTATCGCGCGTGTATTTGCGCTGTCGCGCATGTATTTGCGCCTTTTAAATGTTTTTTTATATTTATCTTGCTAAAGTAAAGTTTTCTGCTTCAAATGAGAATTAATAAGAAAGGCGTCAATTTTTTTTATTAAAAAAAATCAAATCCTAAAAACAAATAAAGATGGACTTGTTTTGTTTTTACAAAATGAGTTGTCATAAAAAGGCCTTCTGTTTATGTCATATACATTTAAATTAAAAAAGAACAGACAATTATTTGTATTCGGGCTCGCGCGCGTATATTTGCGCTGTCGCGCATGTATTTGCGCCGTTTAAACATTATAAACATTTATCTTGTTAAAGTAAAGTTTTTTGCTTCAAATAAGAATGTTTAAAAAAGCTTCAATGTTTTAATTTAAAAAAAAGATATTCCAAAAACAAATAAAGATGGATTTGTTTTGTTTTCACAAAATAAATTGTCATAAAAATGTTCTGTTAATACATTTAAATTAGAAAAGAACAGACAATATTATTTATATTTGGGTTCGCGCGTGTATATTTGCGCTGTCGCGCATTAATTTGCGCATTTTAGATGTTATATACATTTATCTTGGTAAACTAAAGTTTTCTGCCTCAAATAAAGAATTCTTAAAAAAGCGTCAATTTTTTTTTTATAAAAAATCTTATCTCAAAAAATTTTAATTAAAAAAAAGTCTCAAAATAATTATGGCCAAAATAAAAAACATATAATATAAAAATCGGCGCTGCGCGCCTCTATTCTGCTATTTGTTACAATTGCGAGTTTGCACATTTGTTGAAAATGGTTCTAAAACAAAGTTTGGATAATATTTTAGAGGTAATTTTTGAAGACACAGGAATGAAGGTAATATTGTTAAAAAAATAAAAAAATATTTACCGAGGACACTTTGGAAACAGAAAAATAATATACATTTAAATTATAAAAGAACACACCAGTTTCTGTTTATTCAGGCCTAAAAACAAATAAAGATGGACTTGTTTTGTTTTTACAAAATGAGTTGTCATAAAAATGCCTTCTATTTATGTCATATACATTTAAAATACATAAACAGACAATATTATTTGTATCCAGGCATTTGTATATTTGCGCTATCGCGCATGTGTTTACGTTATCGCGCAATTATTTGCGCTACCGCGCATGTGTTTGCGAATTTTAGATGCCATAAACATTTATCTTGCTAAAGTAAAGTTTTTTGCCTCAAATTGGAATTTTCAAAAAGAAGTGTAAATTTTTTAGTTAAAAAAACAAATTTATAAAAAGAAATTGCCTCAAAACAATTACGGTCAAAATAAAAAATGTATTATAATATAGAAATCGGCGCTGCGTGCCTCTATTCTGTTATTTTGCTGGTTAGTACATTTTGTGAAGATGGTTCTAAAACAAAATAATATTTTAGTGGTAATTTTTGAAGACCCAAAGAAAATGTTATTATTG